AATTATAGTAATCAGAATCGGAATCGAAATCATCGGAATCGATTCGAAACTACCAGAATCGAAATCATCGGGAATCGGTAACGAAACCACCGAAATCGAAATAATTGTAATCTGAATCTAAACCACCAGAATCGGAATCATAGTCATCAGAATCAAAATCGAAATCATCAGAACCGATTCGAAACCACCGAAATCCAAGTCATCTGGAATCGGTATCGAAACCACCGAAATCGTTATAATCGTAATATGAATCGAAACCACCGGAATCGGAATCATAGTCATCAGAATCGGAATCTAAATCATCAGAATCAATTCGAGGTCACCGGAATCGAAATCATCGGGAATCGGTGTGAAAATCATCGTAATCGAAATAATCGTAATCTGAATCGGAATCGAAACAACATAAATTCGAATTGAAACCACCGGAATCGGAATCATAGTCATCAGAATCGGAATCGAAATCATCAGAATCGATTTGAAACTACAGCAATGGAAATCATCGGGAATCGGTGTCAAAATCACCGGAGTCGAAATAATCGTAATCTGAAACGAAACCACCGGAATCAGAATCATAGTCAACAGAATCGGAATCGAAATCATCTGAATCAGAATCGAAACTACCGAAATCGAAATAATCAGAATCGGTACCGAAACCACCAGAATCGGAATAATCGAGTTCCGAATCTAAACCACCGGAATCGAAATTGAAATCATTAGAATCAAAACAACGTCAGAGTTGGAATTGAAACCACTGGAATTGAAATGAGAATTATCAGAATCGGAATCGAAACGTCCGGAATCAATTCCTTTGAGACCATCGGAATCAACGAACTAGGCAGCAAGACTACGATTTGTTTCTCCCCAAAGTGCATACTACAAATTCGTATTTTTTGTGTTATTTTCTGAGAGTGTTTGCAGATAATTGTGGCTTCAGATGATTCTTGAGGTCACAGGTACATTATTATTACCTCGATGCAACGTTGTCACTTTGGTAAGCAATTAAAACAATACAATGTAATCATATAGGCTTGGCTTCTTCTGATGTATTCGAATTCGTCATTCAGGACCGACCAAGCCCTAGTGAAAACACTGCAAGACATTTTACATAGATTTATCGCATCTATAAACATAAAGCGCTGCAAAATTATCCTCAATATGCTCCGAATAGCACACGTTCCATCGATAATGTCAAAGATGATCGCTATCATCGCATTTGCGACGTCGGTCGCATTTCAAAAAGTAGTGCACAGAAATTTGCTCTTTGCCAACTCTCAAATGTTTCAACGTCACACTCGCGATTCGTGCTATAACAAGAAGACGATAAATGTTGTCTGGGTTTCACTTTTCGTAGGACAAACAGTACAGGAACTAACGTGATAATTGCTTATCTCGACACTCGACATCCGCATACTATTTCTGGTTGATTGACGATATCATCCCACGCTTTTAGAAAGGAGAAGTGAGATTTCTGCTCCAACATACAGAGACTGCTATACATTTTAGGTAGTATAACAAAAAATCGCATTTGAAGTATTAGTGTAACGATAATAAATAGTACTAGATCGACGCGAAGTGACTTCGAATATTATAGATGCCGCTTTGTGGCTCGCCAGACCTTTCTCGAAGCAGCGATGGTTACTATATATAACTCGTTGGCCGGGAGATGAAGGCAGAGTACAGAGTACGGTAGAGTAGTAGAGCGGAGTGGAGTATAGTCCAGTCAATGTCGCGACAAGAATTAGTCAGACATAAATAGTGGTGTATATAAATGTTTTATCATGTTAAATAAATTAGTGCATTTCTTTTTGTGGAATCCACACCCAAAAGAACCCAGGAAAACGCTACATTATGAATACATGTTGCAGGCTTGTAAATGATCTCGGAAAGTATGACCATATATCGAAGGTCATTAATGTGACAGTCCATTAAAAATAACATATTTTGACAATCTTCGCACGATTTCTATACCTAATTCTAAAAATCTGTTTCCGAGTATGTTTTTGCATCATCCACTCTCTCATACATCTTGTTAAAACAGATAAATCTTTAAAACGCGCTTATAGGTTTTTCTAATTATTCAGATGCGATACATAAGTATTCTCTGTTAAGTCGTTAATAGTCTTATAACTAGCTTATCTCTCGTTATATAATATGGCATGGGTATTCAACATATTATGCATGATTATGCCCACATGATACAAGTAAGAATATTGGTCATTTAAGTGTGTTAACTTTCTTTTTAACTAAACAACTGTTACATGCCACATGAGTCGAAGATGATATTGATCGGACAATTACCTCATGGTTCTTCTTCTCACGCCAATTGAAAGAAAATGTCACTCGTTTTCATCGCTCTGTCTGTCGGTCTGTGTATGCTAATTTTGATATCTTGGAAAGTAGTACTCAGATTTTGATGAGCACTTCAGAAAAGGTTGCCTCTATGCCAAGGATGAAAAAGCTTTATGGTTTTTGAAAATCGTTCCAGCTGCGGCAAAAATATGGTCGAAACAATGAAAAATAAAAAATGGGTCAAACCTCGTTTCAGAGGATCCCGACCACCTCTCGAAAAATTCAAAGATCGAAACCACTGGAATCTGAATCGAAACCATCAGAATCTGAATCAAAATCATCAGAGTTGGAATCGAAACCACCGAAATCGGAATCGAAACCTTCAGAATTGAAATCGAAACCACTGGAATCGAAATAATCTGAATCGAAAACACAGGAATCGAAATAATCGGAATTGTAATAGAAACCACCGGAATCGGAATCGAAACCATCAGAATCTGAATCGAAATCATCAGGGTTGGAATCGAAACCACTAGAATCGAAAACACAGGAATCGAAATAACCGGATTCGGGATCGAAACCACCGGAATCTGAATCGAAACCATCAGAATCTGAATCAAAATCATCAGAGTTGGAATCGAAACCACCGAAATCGGAATCGAAACCTTCAGAATTGAAATCGAAACCACCGGAATCGAAATAATCGGAATCGTAATCGAAACCACCGGAATCGGAATCGTAACCATTTGAATCTGAATCGAAATCATAAGGGTTGCAATCGAAACCACTGGAATCGAAATAACTGGATTCGGGATCGAAACCACCGGAATCGGAATCGAAACCTTCAAAATTGAAATCGAAACCACCGGGATCGGAATCGAAACCTTCAGAGTTGGAATCGAAATCACCGGAATCGAAATAATGGGAATCGAAACCAGCGCAGACGGAATCGAAACCTACAGAGTTGGGATCGAAATCACCGTAATCGAAATAATCGGAATCGAAATCGAAATCATCAGAATCGGAATCGAAATCATCAGAATCGATTTGAAACCACTGGAATGGAAATACTCGTAATCTGAATCTAAACCACCGGAATCGGAATCGAAATAATCAGAATCTGAATCCAAATCAACAGGGTTGGAATCAAAACTCCTGGCATCGGAATCGAAATCACCAGAATCGGAATCGAAACTACCGAAATCAAAATAATCAGAATCGGTACCGAAACCGCCGGGATCGGAATCGAAATCATCAGAATCGATTTAAAACCACTGGAAAAGAAATACTCGTAATCTGAATCTAAACCACCGGAATCGAAATCGAAATAATCAGAATCGGAATCCAAATCAACAGGGTTGGAATCAAAACTCCTGGCATCGGAGTCGAAATCACCAGAATCGGAATCGAAACTACCGAAATCGAAATAATCAGAATCGGTACCGAAACCGCCGGGATCGGAATCGAAATCATCAGAATCGATTTAGAACCACTGGAATCGAAACAATCGTAATCTGAATCGAAACCACCGGAATCGGAATCGAAATAATCAGAATCGGAATCCAAATCAACAGGGTTGGAATCAAAACTCCTGAAATCGGAATCGAAATCACCAGAATGGGAATCGAAACTACCGAAATCGAAATAATCAGAATCGGTACCGAAACCGCCGGGATCGGAATCGAAATCATCAGAATCCATTTAAAACCACTGGAAAAGAAATAATCGTAATCTGAATCGAAACCACCGGAATCCGAATCGAAATAATCAGAATCGGAATCCAAATGAACAGGGTAGGAATGAAAACTCCTGGAATCGGAACCGAAATCACCAGAATCGGAACGAAACTACCGAAATCGAAATAATCAGAATCGGTACCGAAACCGCCGGGATCGGAATCGAAATCATCAGAATCGATTTAAAACCACTGGAATCGAAATAATCGTAATCTGAATCGAAGCCACCGTAACCGGATTCGAAATAATCAGAATCTGAATCCAAATCAACAGGGTTGGAAGCAAAACTCCTGGAATCGGAATCGACATCATCGGAATCGGAATCGGATCTACCCGAATTTAAATAACCGAAATACGAATTAAAACCGCTGGAATCGGAATCGAAATCATCAGAATCGATTTAAAACCACTGGAATCGAAATAATCGTAATCTGAATCGAAACCGCCGGGATCGGAATCGAAATCATCACAATCGAAATTAAAATCATCAGGGTTGGAATAGAAACGACTAGAATCGGAATTGAAATAATAGGGATCGAATCAAAGCCACCCGAATCGAAATCATCAGAATCGGTATCGAAACATCGGAATAGGAATAATCGAATCCAAACCCCACCGGAATCGAAATCGAAATCACCAGAATCAGAAAATCGTCACAGTTGAGATCGAAACCACTGGAATTGAAATCTTAATCATCAGAATCGAAATCGAATCGTCCGGAATCAAGTCTATTGAGACCATCGGAATCAACGAATTCAGCTAGGAAGGATGGTGCAAGCCTACGATTTGTTTCTTTCCAAAGTATTCCAATTTCGTTTGTTTTCTTTGTTTTATACATATATTTATTATGTGTTGTTTTATTAGTTTTTACTCTGATGAATCTCACACACACATTGTAAAGTCTCTCAGGATAATAAAGAATTTGAATTTGAATTTCCGATTTGCACTGGCTTATTGTTATAATTTTTTTTCCAGGTTTGGAATCAAAATCGGTGAAATACGGCGAGGACGAGGAAACCTTTGCTCTGCAACGCGCTGAAACAGGCGATGCGAGGCTCAACAGGGAACCTCAAAGCGGGATCGTGAATCAGAAAAAAGAGCAGAAGTTCAATTACCAAAGGCCAAAGCCTGCTCAGAACAATGATAGGGAGATCTTCAAAGCTTCGAGCAGCTCGAATTTCTTCAATAATAGGAATAACGGAAAGGAAAGGGATGAAGATTACGATGACAACGTGAATCTTAATCAGGATAGGGACAATGAACAGAGAAGAAAGGTGAGTAAAAAGATTGTTGAAAAAACTAAATACTATTTGTTTTTTAACACCATTTAAGTTATGATTTTTTCATTGGTGCACTTCGTGATTTGTGAAAACAATTAATTCTGAATCTAAACCACCGGAATCAAAACCATCAGAATTGGAATCGAAATAATCGAAATCCGAATTGAAACCACCGGAATCGGAATCGTAATCATAATCATCAGGGTTGGAATCGAAACCACTGAAATCGGAACTGAAATAATCGGAATCGGTTCGAATCGACCGGAATCGGAATAATCGAATTCCGAATCAAAACCACCGGAATCTGAATAACCGAATTCCGAAACTAAACCATCGGAATCGGAATCGAAATCATCAGAATCAGAAAATCATTTCATTGGCGCACTTCGTGATTTGTGAAAATTATTTTGTTCTTGTTATAATTTTGAAGGTGGTGAGAAACAGAGGTAGGAAGCCCTCAATACAGACCGAGTACAACAGAAATGAACAAAACAGGAATGTGCAGGCGAACAACAGACAAGCAACTCAGAATGAGGACCACAATCAGAACAGGAATAACGATCACAATAGGAATAACAACTACAATAATCAGAATAATAATTATAGGAACCAAAACGCTGACTACAATAGGTAAGTGATATCGTATGGAAATTCTTCTTTAATTAATAAACTTATTGTTATTATTAAACTCTCTTAACAGCATTTTTTATGTATAATTTCGATTGTTCAAACAGGCAAAGTCAAACAGCAGACTTTACGCGCAACACACCAGCGCCACCAGCGGACTACAGCCGAACCAGTCAGCAATCTCAAACTAGCAGCTTTAATCAAAACACCGCTGACTACACGCCGAGGCAGCAATCTCAAGCTCAAACGAACACCTACAAACAGAACACAGCTAACACAGCAAACGCAGCAGCTGCGGAAATAGAAGCTCAGACTAGAAAGCCATCTTCAAGACCTACTGGGTTCCTGAACAACTTTGCCGGTAGCAGCTACGTACCGACGACTTTGAGGCCTTTAGCTGCCAGTACTACTATCAACAGTGACCAGTATACCACTGCTATCAATAACTATAGGTAAGTCATTTTAAATCCAGTTCCTTCAGATTTTTACTCACATTGTTTTCGATTGCGATTTTTTCAAAATCAGACTTTTTATAATTTAAATCTTTACTGGTGGAAAATCTGCCAAGATTACCAGAACATAACTTAAAAAGGCAACCAATGATAAAATTCAACCTGCTTTCTGCCATTTTTAAAAGACAGACAGCGGACCACAAACATATGTTTTCGTGATATGTATGTCAAAATAGCTAAAATACGTACTTCAAATTCGAAAAGTTTGTGATTATACGAGTAGTATTTGCATGGAATAACATTTTTTGATTGAAAATATATATTTTTTTCAATAAATGACAACCAAAAAAATTCAATAATAGTCTATACTCCACTTCATTACTTTATGCCAAATTATCGTTCCTTTCAAACAGTTTATTCAAATCCGACCCGACCTATCTTTAAGGAATCGAAATCCCAGTCATAGAAGCCGGAATCTAAAGTGTCATAGTCAGAATCGAAATCACCGTAATCGAAATAATCGGAATCGGAATCGTAGCTACAGAAATCGGAATCGAAACTCCCATGTTGGGGTCGAAACCACCGGAATCAAATAATCGGAATCGAAACAGAAACCACAGGAATCGAAATAATCGAAATCGAGATCACTGGAATCGGAATCGAAACCTTCAAAGTTTGTATCGAATCCACCGTAATCGAAATAATCTGAATCAGAATCGCACTCGAAATCACCGGAGCTATAATCGAAACCTATAGAGTTGGGATCGAAATCAACAGAATCGGAATAATCGGAATCGAAATCGTAGCCACAGAAATCGGAATAATCGGAATCGGAATCGAAACTCCCATGTTGGGGTCGAAACCACTGGAATCTAATAATTGGAATCGAAACCACTGGAATCGAAATAATCCGAATCGAAAACACAGGAATCGAAATAATCGGAATCGTAATCAAAACCACCGGAATGGGGATCGAAACCATCAGAATCTGAATCTAAATCATCAGAGTTGGAATCGAAACCACCGGAATCGAAATAATCCGAATTGAAATCGAAACCACCGGAATCGGAATCGAAATCATCAGAATTTGAATCGAAATCATGAGGGTTGGAATCGAAACCACTGGAATCGAAATAATCTGAATCGAAAACACGGGAATCGGAATCAAAATAAACGTAAAACCAGCAGAATCCAAGTAATCGGAATCTAAACCATAAGAATCAGAATCAAAACAATCGGAATCGGAACTACGGGAATCGAAATATTCGGAATGGAAACCACTAGAATCGGAATCGAAATCATCAGAATCTGAATCGAAATCATGAGGATTGGAATCGAAACCACTGGAATCGAAATAATCTGAATCGAAAACACGGGAATCGGAATCAAAATAAACGTAAAACCAGCAGAATCCAAGTAATCGGAATCTAAACCATAAGAATCAGAATCAAAACAATCGGAATCGGAACTACGGGAATCGAAATATTCGGAATGGAAACCACTGGAATCGGAATCGAAATCATCAGAGTTGGAATGGAAACCACCGGAATCGAAATAATCTGAATCGTAATCGAAACCACCGGAATCGGAATCGAAACCATCAGAATCTGAATCGAAATCATGAGGTTGGAATCGAAACCACTGGAATCGAAATAATCTGAATCGAAAACACGGGAATCGCAATCAAAATAAACGTAAAACCAACAAAATCCAAGTAATCGGAATCTAAACCATAAGAATCAGAATCAAAGCAACCTGAATCGGAACTACGGGAATCGACATATTCGGAATGGAAACTATTGAAATCGGAATCGAAATCATCAGAGCTGGAATCGAAACTACAGGAATCGAAATAATCGGAACAGGAATCGAAACCACCGGAATTGGAATCGAAACTATCAGAATCGAGATTGGAATCATCAGAGTTGGAATCGAAACTATCGGAATCGGAATAATCGAAGTCGAAATCGCAGAGATCGAAGCAATCAAAATCGGAATCGAAACCACCAGAATTGAAATCACCGGAGGCAGAAACGAAATCAGCTCAAGCGGGGAATAGTCGGAATCGAAATCGAAACCACAGAAATCGGAAACTAAACCATCAGAATCGGCATCGAAATCACCGGAATCGAAATAATCGGAATCGAAACCACCGCAGACGGAATCGAAACCTACAGAGTTGGGATCGAAATCACCGTAATCGAAATAATCGGAATCGAAATCGAAACCATCAGAATCGGAATCGTAGTCAACTGCGACTGTATCGAAACCACCGGAATCGAAATAATCGGGATTGGAACCGCAACCACAGGAATCGAAATAATCAGAATCGAAACCACCGCAGTTGGAATCGAAACCTATAGTGTTAGGATCGAAATCACCGTAGTCGAAATAATCGGTATCGGAATCGTAGCCACAGAAATCGAAATCGGAATCGAAACTCCCATGTTGGGGTCGAAACCACCGGAATCAAATAATCGGAATCGAAACCATCAGAATCTGAATCGAAAACACAGGAATCGAAAAAATCGTAATCGGAACTGAAACCACAGGATTCGAAATAATCGGAATCGAGACCACTTGAATCGGAATCGAAACCTTCGAAGTTTGGTTCGAAACCACCGTAATCGAAATAATCGGAATCGGAATCGTAGCCACAGAAATCGGAATAATCAGAATCGGAATCGAAATTCCCATGTTGGGGTCGTAACCACTGGAATCAAATAATCGGAATCGAAACCATTAGAATCTTAATCGAAATCGTCATGGTTGGAACTGAAACCACAGGATTCGAAATAATCGGAATCGAGACCACTTGAATCGGAATCGAAACCTTCGAAGTTTGGTTCGAAACCACCGTAATCGAAATAATCGGAATCGGAATCGTAGCCACAGAAATCGGAATAATCAGAATCGGAATCGAAATTCCCATGTTGGGGTCGAAACCACCGGAATCAAATAATCGGAATCGAAACCATCAGAATCTGAATCGAAAACACAGGAATCGAAAAAATCGTAATCGGAACTGAAACCACAGGATTCGAAATAATCGGAATCGAGACCACTTGAATCGGAATCGAAACCTTCGAAGTTTGGTTCGAAACCACCGTAATCGAAATAATCGGAATCGGAATCGTAGCCACAGAAATCGGAATAATCAGAATCGGAATCGAAATTTCCATGTTGGGGTCGTAACCACTGGAATCAAATAATCGGAATCGAAACCATCAGAATCTTAATCGAAATCGTCATGGTTGGAATCGAAACCACTGGAATCGAATTAGTCTGAATCGAAAGCACAGGAATCGAAATAATCGAAATCGGAACCGAAACCAAGGAGTTCGAAATAATCGGAATCGAGACCACCAGAATCGGAATCGAAACCTTCGAAGTTTGTATCGAAATCATCGTAATCGAAATAATCGGAATCAGAATCGCAATCGAAATCACCGGAATCGAAACCATCGCAGTTCGAATCGAAACCTATAGTGTTTGCATCGAAATCACCGTAATTGAAATAATCGGTATCGGAATCGTAGCCACAGAAATCGGAATAATCGGAATGTTGGGGTCGAAACCACCGGAATCAAATAATCGGAATCGAAACCATCAGAGACTGAATCGAAATCATCAGAGTTGGAATCAAAACCACTGGAATCGAAATAATCTGAATCGAAAACACAGGAATCGGAATCGTAATAGAAACCACCGGAATCGGAATCGAAACCATCAGAATCTGAATCGAAATCATCAGAGTTGGAATCGAAACTACCGGAATCGGAATCGAAACCTGCAGAATTGAAATCGGAACCACCAGATTCGAAATAATCGGAATCGAGACCACTAGAATCGGAATCGAAACCTTCGAAGTTTGGATCGAAACCACCGTAATCGAAATAACCGGAATCAGAATCGCAATCGAAATCACCGGAATCGAAACCATCGCAGTTGGAATCTAAACCTATAGTGTTTGGATCGAAATCACCGTAATCGAAATAATCGGTATCGGAATTGTAGACACAGAAATCGGAATTATCGGAATGTTGGGGTCGAAATCACCGGAATCAAATAATCGGAATCGAAACATCAGAGTCTGAATCGAAAACATCAGAGTTGGAATCAAGACTACTGGAATCGAAATAATCTGAATCAAAAACACAGGAATCGAAATAATCGGAATTGTAATAGAAACCACCGGAATCGGAATTGAAACCATCAGAATCTGAATCGAAATCATCAGGATTGGAATCGAAACCACTAGAATCTAAATGATCTGAATCGAAAACGCAGGAATCGAAATAACCGGATTCGGGATCGAAACCCCCGGAATCTGAATCTAAACCATCAGAATCTGAATCAAAATCATCAGAGTTGGAATCGAAATCACCGGAATCGGAATTGAAACCTTCAGAATTGAAATCGAAACCACCGGAATCGAAATACTCGGAATCGTATTCGAAACCACCGGAATCGAAACATCAGAGTCTGAATCGAAAACATCAGAGTTGGAATCAAGACTACTGGAATCGAAATAATCTGAATCAAAAACACAGGAATCGAAATAATCGGAATTGTAATAGAAACCACCGGAATCGGAATTGAAACCATCAGAATCTGAATCGAAATCATCAGGATTGGAATCGAAACCACTAGAATCTAAATGATCTGAATCGAAAACGCAGGAATCGAAATAACCGGATTCGGGATCGAAACCCCCGGAATCTGAATCTAAACCATCAGAATCTGAATCAAAATCATCAGAGTTGGAATCGAAATCACCGGAATCGGAATTGAAACCTTCAGAATTGAAATCGAAACCACCGGAATCGAAATACTCGGAATCGTATTCGAAACCACCGGAATCGGAATCGTAACCATCAGAATCCGAATCGAAATCATCAGGGTTGGGATCGAAACAACTGGAATCAAAATAATCTGAGTCAAAAACACAGGAACCGAAATAACCGGATTCGGGATCGAAACCACCGGAATCTGAATCGAAACCTTCAGAATTGAAATCAAAACCACCGGAATCGGAATCGAAACGTCAGAATTGGAATCGAAACCACCGGAATCGAATTCGTAATCGAAACCACCGGGATCGGAATCGAAACCTTCAGAGTTGGGATCGAAACCCCCGGAATCGGAATAACCGGCTTCGGATTCGAGACCATCAGAATCTGAATCAAAATAATCATAGTTGAAATGCCGAAGTCTATCAGAATCGGGTAATTCGATTTCTAATGCGGTATCGTTCCTACAGGACGACTTGTTCCGAACCGGCCCAGCTCTGCAGCCGAGCATAGAAGGCCACGTGCGCATCGCTCTTGTCTTCGAAATATAACTCAATAAATTGAAAAATGATTAAATTGCAGGGCAAGAAACGGCCAAAAACCGAGACCTCAACAAACTAACGATTACACAGCTCAAACTCCTCAGTACACCGTTAGTACTCCGGCACCGTTCAAATCGACTCAATACAGGCAAATCAGTACCTTCGCACCTACCAAGGACACTGACAACTACCCAAAAACGAAACCAAGCACCACCGAACGGTAAGAAAAATGTTTATTTTTTTAATTTGCCTCCAAATAGGATATTATCTATATTTTCGCTGAAGTTGTCCTACAAAAAAATGTAAGCAAAAAATTTATTTCAGTTTTTAAAATATTACTGATCAAAACTTAGTTCTTAGCTGACTTAAAATGGAGTCACACAATTTGATTGTATTTTTTTGAATGACAGTGTTGTGGAGCAAGCGCAAAGTCACCCTACTTGACGCTATTTTTATTATTTCAGGTATAACCAGCAGGCAACGAACTTCAAGCAAAACGCCAATCCCAACGACTACAAATACGAACTAACCAAAACCAAGCCGAGTACCACCTATCCAGGTACTAAAACCGAGAACTACCCCAGTAACAACCCGCAGTATTTCGACAAAAAACCCACTACCCCCGTAAAACAAACTGAAACCTTCCCCACAACCCTGAGTACTAAACCCAAGCCTTTCAGCGCCAATACCCAGACTTTCCCCACGACGTTCGCGCCAAGAACCAACGCTGCGTATACCCAGATTGCCCAGCAGACATTGAAGCAGCAAAGCAGTACCTTGATTGCCACCGAATTCGTGCAGACGAAGGCTAGTACCACTTCTAAGGCTGTGACGTCAACGCCTTACACGCCAACGGTACCGAAGATTAGCCCTACTACTCCTATCGCTAGGTGAGTGTCAATGATTGTACTGAAGAATATACCTGGTGTTTCAAATGCGGACAAAGTTGCGCATATAGGTAACAAGAAAATGGCACGTAGGCCTGGTTTTTCAATCGCAAGTTACCTGCAACATGACTACTAACCAGAAGCTCGGTTGAATCTGTCACTCTCTGCCGTCCGTGCGTGTATTTATTTTTCAATCGACGAATCCAGAAGCGTTCTCGCGTTTTCCAGACATAACTCGAGTCATCACATCGAAGCTGGTAAATGACGGTCGATATTTATCGTTAAAAGTCTAATTTATTACCGTCACACTGATTTATTACAGCACTTGCACGTAATTTTTTGTAAATTTATGACTACGTCGACTGGACTATGATGTTTCGCGCTGATAACTCGCTACTTGGTTCATCTGGCTCTCTCTGCCCTCTGTGCGTGTATTTATTTTTGAATCGACGAATCCAGAATCGTTCTCGCGTTTTCCAGACATAACTCGACCCTTCGCATCGAAGCTGGTAGATGACAGTCGATATTTCTCGGTACGTGGCGAATGTTTTTGATGCTTGTGTAAGAAGCTTCTAAACGTCCAAAATTTGTAGTCGGCCATATATCTTGTTTAACTAAAACAATGTTTTATCGTTAAAGGTCTAATTTATTACCGTCACACTGATTTATTACAGCACTTGCATGTATTTTTTGTAAATTTATGACTACGGCGCCTGGAGTACGATGTTTCGCGCTGATAACTCGCTACTCGGTTCATCTGGCTCTCCCTGCCCTCTGTGCGTGCATTTATTTTTGAATCGAGAAATCTAGAAGCGTTCCTGCGTTTTCAAGACAGAACTGGAGCCTTCATATCGAAGCTGGTAGATGGCGGTCAATATTTTTCGATATGTGGCAAATGTTTTTGATGCTTGTGTAAGAAGCTTCTGAACGGCCAATATTTGTAGCTTGGTCATATATCTTGTGTAATGAAAACAACGTTTTTATCTTTTAAAGTCTAATTTATTACCGTAACACTGATTTATTACAGCACTTGCATGTATTTTTTTGTAAATTTATGACTACGCCGACTGGACTACGATGTTTCGCGCTGATAATTCGCTACTCGGTTCATCTTGCTCCCTCTGCCCTCTGTGCGGGTATTTATTTTTGAATCGACGAATTCAGAAGCGTTCCTGCGTTTTCCAGACAGAACTCGAGTCTTCACATCGAAGCTGGAAGATGGCGGTCGATATATCTCGATACGTGGCGAATTTTTTTGATGGTTGTGAAAGGAGCTTGTAAATGTCCAATATTTGTAGCATGGCCATAAATGTTGTGTTACGAAAACGTTTTTATCGCTTAAAGTCAAATTTATTACAACACTTTTTATAAATTTAAGACTATTTCGACTAGATTATGGTGTTCCGCGCTACTCGGTTGATCTGCCTGTCTCTGTCCCATGTGCGTGTATTTATTTTTGAATCGACGCATCCAGAAGCGTTCCCGCATTTTCCAAGCAAAGCTCGGGCCTTCACATCGAAGCTTGTAAATGGCGGTCGATATTTCTCGAATGTGGCGAATGCTCTTGATGTTTGTTTGCGTAATTCTGGTTGCCTAACCTTCGATGTTACGAGGGTGTCTCACTGTTACTCTAAGTTCACTGGGATATATCGGCAATGTGCAGACATGTACATGGTCAGACTTTCTCGCCTGAAGGACTACAAATTAGGCAAGAATCATTACATTAATGATTCCATTAATTTGGCAATCTGTCAGCAATACATAGAAATAGGTCGGAAATATCAAAAAGTATTGCCGAGGCAGAAAAATGTTGCTCGTTTTGACGCGTTATATCGTACATTTGTCATTTTTACTTGAATCCTAGGGATACTAATGAAATAAAGGTCAAACACAGTGTAGCGTTTTTCTGGGTTCTTTTGGGTGTGGATTAAAACACTGGTTTTCACAAAAAGAAATGCACTAATTTATTAAACTTGACTAGATAGAACATCAATGTCCACCACTATTTATGTCTGACTACTTATTTACGAATTACCATGTCGCGCCATTCACTGTACTATACTCTACTGTGCTTCCATCTTCCGGCCGTCGAGTCATATAGTCCGCATCGCAGCGACTCGTTGAATCGAGAAGGTTCCGGTGAGCCACATAGCGGCATTCCAGAATATTCGAGGTCACTTCGGGTCCATCTCGAAGAAAAGTCGAGAGTTTTGCGGTCCCCAACAGATGTCGCCACCAAGTTGCATGTTGTCAGTTATAAAAAAAAACAAAAAAGCACCGAAGGTTAATATAGGAAAAATTAGAAATGTTAAAAAAGAAAAAACAATTTCCTTAATAGCCCTAAGAATTATCAGATGATAATTTCATTGTCAGCCAAGCGTTTTTCCAGTGTTTATGAAATGGGCACAGCTGAACAATTCCTGAATTTCGTATGTTACAGTTTCCGAGACCTCATGGTAAGGGTCGTACTTGAAATACCCGGTATATTGGTAAAGTGCATATTCTAGAGAATAACTGATCCGTATACAATTGGCGTTTTTCTAATCTTTTATGTTTGTCTGAATGTAGGGCACCGTTTGTTTATAAGGAACCTTCCAAAAGAATATTGAACATTAGATTTTTGGCAGGTAAGATGCAATTCAAAAAAAAGTCACCACTCTTCATTCCATCAGTGACTGGTAGTGAAAACTGAACCCGAAAATCATTCCAAAATATCCTTCCTTACAAGGTTAGAACTATGGAGCATGGACCCAGTTTCATATAGAATTTTATCGTCGAATGTATATGCATGGAATCATGGGCAACTGGGATCAGATCAATTTTTTCATAGGTTTCAGGTCTCATTGAAGGATAAATTATTACCGAAATAATCCTATTCATCATGAATTAATTGCAAAAGCATGTCCATGGAGAATTTGTACCCGAATCCACATATTTTTATACCATCTTTTAACATATAGTCAAAATCACGAAAGATGACTATTACGTCATACCATAAATTGTACTGAAGTAATCAATGGACGTACGTCGATGATAAAATCACGAGTCAGAAACATAATGACAACAAATTTATATTATGATTTTTCGAAGTTAGGTTATTTCAATGATTATTTTTATTTTCATTTTATTTCATGGTTTTGAGTGATACCTTAATAATAATTTTAGTGGGGAGTTTTTGTTTGGAAAAAAAAAACAGTTATGAGTAGAATACCTTAAGACAGGAACACCAAAGACCAAAGTATTATTCGAAAACAACATGACCTTCTTTAACATAACCTAACTATTCATCTTTCAAATATGATCGATCATGCAACATGAAAATATCGTCTATCTTTGTCGGATACTTGCAAATTAGCAATACAATTTGTTTAGACAATAAAATTCTGTTTGTGTCTGTCTAACATATCAGAAACTTCATTATAGTCAAAATCACCAATGATGACTATTACATCATACCATAAATTGTACTGAAGTAATCAATGGACGTACGTCGATGATGAAATCACGATTTCAGGAACATAATGTCAACGAATTTGTATTATGATTTTGCGAAGTTAGGTTATTTCACTGATTATTTTTATTTTCATTTTATTTCATGGCATTGAGTGATACCGTAATAATAATTTTAGTGAGGAGTTTTTGTTTTGAGTAGAATACCTTAAGACAGGAACACCAAAGACCAAAGTATCAGTCGAAAACAACCTAACCTGCTTTAACATAACCTAACTATTCATCTTTCAAATATGATCGATCATGCAACATGAAAACATCGTCTATCTTTGTCCGATACATGCAAATTAGCAATACAGTTTGTTTAGACAATAAAATTCTGTTTGTCTCTGTCTAACACATCTGAAACTCCATTAAAAATATTCACAAATCGCTGTCGTTTGTCTTTAATACAGACTAAAATGATGACATAATCGTCATCTTTCGTGATTTCGACTATAGGTTGATTATTTGTCATTCCACAACATAAGAAGCAAAAACCTTGCATTCGTCTGAGAATGCCTCGATATTTTCTCCTCGACGGCTAGTACCTGAATATGGGGTCATTTCAAAAACAGTTCCAGGATGCCTGACTTGTTTTCTCTTCAAATTTGTGTGCTATATGCACAAAAAAATACCAATTTTAGATTCGGAACCCTTGACCTTGAGAATAAATAATCAAAGAACTATTAATATTCATTATTTTCAATTATGATTGATAGTAGGACCATCTACTATTATAATATAAACTCTTTGTAATTAAAAATTGGTTTCTACTTCTTAGTCCGGTTAGCTATAAAAGCGTTTCTTCTTAGTTTTTTTAAACTGTTATTTATTATTTTTGAGGCCGGAATCCAATGTGCAAGACAGGCAAATTTTGAGGTCATTCTTTCTCACACAAATGCGAGGTTTTCGTCTCGTTTTAAATTTAAACAATTTGGTTATAGTGAAATGAAATGATTTTTGTCTGTAGATCCAGCCGATTCGACGAAACCCAGTACGACGACGGATCCTACAACAGCAAATACGATAAGTACGATTACGACGCAGACCGAAGGGACGACGAGTTTCTGAAAGGCGCGCACAGCCAGAACATCGCTGCCAGCCGTAACGAATTCGCGAAAACGACCAAGTACCAACAACAAACCACCAAAAAGTACTATCAGCAACAGCCGACACAAAAGCCCAGTTACGAAACACCTAGACCGTTCTCCGTCACTTCCAACACGCCTCAAAGATCGACCAATAATGCTTCTCCTACGCCGAAACAAGTGACCAATCAAAATACGCAATCTCCTAAGCAAAACACCAATCACAGTGCGCCACCTCAGAAACCCGAAGTGAGCAGTAAAAAGGCGAAAGATTACGACTATGCTTATTATGACACAGATACTAATTCAGGTAGTGAACCGGAGTACGAAATTACTGAAATTAAAAAATCTACTGTCAAGAATTAGGGTAGCTTTTAGGGTAGTCTAAGGGAGGTCTAAGGTTTCTGCAGTTAAATGATTTTTACCCAACAAAAAGTTAAGTAAAATAATTTTGGATTGTTTCAAAATGAAATAGCGTTTCTTGAAATTGACTCTTAGTAAAATAAGCTGCACTGCTTTAGAGCCTTTCAAGGAGCGATGGAAGGAGCTTTAAAAATACGTGAATTTTATTCCAGAAATAAAAATTAAAATTTGTTAATATTACAAACGTAAGGAAAACGTTTGAAAGAAGAGTTTCACTAAGCTGGTATAAGTATATGAATTTAAAAAAAATCTTGGCCATAACATTTATAATATTATACAACAATAGGGCCACTATTATTGTATAAATCTCGGTTGATCTCTAAATTTTGATTCCAGCATTTCTACATTTACTTTTTTATGGTTTTTTACTCAAGTGGTTCAATTATAGTAGGTCTTGTCTGGTCTTTGCAATCTTAATAAACATTTTTTTAAAACTACTCCTTTAGTAGAATTGCGAGTATTTCCCAATTTTGCGCTGAAAAAGTTTCATGCCATTCACGAAACCAGTCAATTAGAAAAACTCTTAGAAGGCTGAAAGTATTAATTTATTTTAGATGTTTTTGTGGTAATCTAAATACTTTCAAACGGGAGAAATTTTGGACCAAGTAGTGATAGGTTATTTAAATTTAAGAATCATCAATTTATCTTGTCATTAAGACCAGTATTTTTTTAATGTATAAAACTGTACATATTGTATTTTTATTGTAAAAATAAACGTAATGTTATTATTAATGGTTGTTTCAATTTTCTGTTCCCTTTATACAGAAACTAAAGTTACTAGAAAGCAATAGAAAGCAAGAACGATCCTCTTCAACGCTATAAATATCATAGGGGCTCAAGTTACATCTAGAGGTCATTTTAAGGTCAACTGTTGCTCTTTCATAGAATGTTGTGAATCAGCGGTTAGCTGGAAAAAGAAGAAGAATAACTTTTCTGATGGTGAACTTTGTTGTGACATTAGCTATGACCTTGAAGGTAAAATCACACAAGGATGTGATTTTACCTCGGTTAATGAGATTTTTCTCAATTTTCTGCGTGGGGATCAAAATTGAAGGTTTTCATGTGAAAAAATCAATTCGACCTTGAATGGACCTTCAAGGTCACAACGAAGGTCACCATCTGTTATGCCGTTGGGTGACTTGGAATTTTCGCATTAAAAGTTATTTTCTATTAGTCTTCTTTATACAGCTATTCACTGCTTCACAACATTCCAAGGAATAGTGTGACCTTGAAATAACCTCCTGATGTAATTTCAGTCCCCATGATATTTATGCCTTTGAAAAAAAAGTTTGGCTTTTTATTTTTGCAATAAAAAAAAGGTTCCCATAAAAAAATCAGCTTGCCCTTAAAATGACCTTGAAGATGAAAAACGTCAAATCCAAGGTCACCACGTTATGCACCAACAATGAGGTCTCATATAAAATAAAAAATGGTGTAAATTGTCTAAAACACTTTGCTATAAAATAATTTAAGGTTATAATTCTTAGTATAAATAAAACATCGTTTCAAGGAGATTTCTTTATACTTTATGAATAAAGGTACATAAACGGACTACTCTATCATTGCTTTTATATAAAAATGTGTCTGGTAGTGACCTTCGATTTGACGTTGACATTCATCTTGATATTGATTTCAAGCACAAGTTGATTTTTTGGGAACCCACGTTTTTTACTGCAGGAATAGAAAGCAAAAAAGTCCTCTTCAACACTATAAATATCATAGGGGCTAAAATTACATCTAGAGGTCATTTTAAGGTCAACTGTTGCTCTTTCATAGAATGTTGTGAATCAGCGGTTAACTGGAAAAGAAGAAGAATAACTTTTCTAATGGTGAACTTTGTTGTGACATTGGCTATGACCTTGAAGGTAAAGGATGTGATTTTACCTCGGTTAATGAGATTTTTCTCAATTTTCTGCGTGGTGATCAAAATTGAGGGTTTTCATGTGAAAAAATCAATTCGACCTTGAATGGACCTTCAAGGTCACAACGAAGGTCACCATCTGTTATGCCGTTGGGTGACTTGGAATTTTCGCATTAAAAGTTATTTTCTATTAGTCTTCTTTATACAGCTATCCACTGCTTCACAACATTCCAAGGAATAGGTTGACCTTGAAATAACCTCCTGATGTAATTTCAGTCCCCATGATATTTATGCCTTTGAAAAAAAAAGTTTGGCTTTTTATTTTTGCAATAAAAAAGAGGTTCCCATAAAAAAATCAGCTTGCCCTTAAACTGACCTTCAAGTAGAATAACGTCAAATCCAAGGTCACCAATAGATGCACCAGCTTATATGAAATAAAAAATGGTGTAAATTGTTGATGTCACTCAAAGACACTTTGCTATGAATAATTATTAAATAGGAAAACCTCGACAAAAAGCAAATAAACTTTTTCTCAATTTAAAGTTATAATTCTCAGTATAAATAAAACATCGTTTCAGGAGCGAGTTCTTTTTATTTTATGAATAAAGGTACATAAACGGACTACTCTACTTATCGATTGGTTTTATATAAAAATGTAGGTACATAACAGAAAACAATTTTATTTTGAGTTACATACAAGTTTTGGTTTCCTAATATGAACATTTTCCTAAAACAGCCATATAGAAAAATAAACAAAAATATATCTAATCATACTAAGTACGAAAAATGGCAATACTAAAAATATCATCAACAAAATATTAACAAAAAATATAATTTTTACACATAAAAAATATAATTACATAAGTAACATTACTCAAAAATGTGAAAGCTTAGCTTTCCATCTGAGTATTAGGAAAAAATCAAAGTCTATTAAACATTAAGATATAAGGGTAAGACTACAAGAAAATGACTTAAAATATTTATATGAGAAGTAATGAAAAATGTGACACATTTTATTAGGCACCTTTGTGTAGATCATCAATTTAGGATAATAAAAAAATAATGAAACAATTTGATAAATATTGAAAAACAAACTAACATCAAAATAGGAAGTGAAGAAGAAGAATCCTCCACAAAAACCAATTTTTTTGTTGCTTAACGTTTTTTTTTTATTATAAATTCCCTTTCGCTATAGACACTATTGACTCATTGTATATACAGGGTTCGTTTTTAGTGTGGGATTAATTACGCAAAAACCCACAACCAAGAATGTGATCCTGATTGGGAAAATATCGTTATATCTACAAGGTGATTCATAACTACAACATAGTAAATGCGCTGGAATAATTGTATAATAAACTATTTTTAAAGCGTTTCTATTTCGAAATTGTCTTCTTTGCAAAATGATTTGTGTATAGCAAAGACGTACTTTTTCAACATCTGGCAGAATATGTATTTTATTGGCCGCATTATATCTGATTTACCAAAAGGTTAGTTGTAATGCAAAAACGAGTCGAAGAAATCCACCACAAGGCAGGGAGAAAGTATGTGATCATAAAATTTTTCTAACGAAAAATTCTGTACTCTGGAGATAACAATTGTCGAGGTGTGAGTTATCAAAGGTGAGTGTTCTTTGTTCGATATCGCAACAACTGCATGTTTGGCAACACTTTTTGTAGATAGCGGAATAACTGAGTCATCAACCGATCCCGCACTAAAACCTCCTCGTATAAAAATTAGAAAAATATTGAATATAATGTACTGAAAAGAAATCAGAACAATTTCGAGAGCTACACAAATACACCTTGAGTCATACATTGTCTTTCAATAGATGAACTTAAAATCAGCATCTTTAGCAGGAGTTTGTGTACAACTTTCAGGATTTGTCACCCCCCCTCCCCTTAGAAAATTTGCTACCCCCGCTGTTCAAAAAGTGTTTGGGTCGGGTATACTCAGAAATTTATTCCTTGCTGCTGACAAAATTTCTGCAGACGCCGATGATGAACTTCACATGTCTGCCAACTTTTACTGATTTATTATTAACCTTTTTACAATGCATGCAAACTGCAATCGAATAAAAATGGTAAAACACGATATTTTTTCAAATTCATACCATCCTATAATTTCAATATTTTTAAATTTACCTGTAGGATTATTGTTCCCGCGTATCTTTCTTCACAATATGTAAGCTATTCAGTACGTAAAATTGCAAAAACAATCTTATACCTACCACTCTCGTGATACGGAAAAGCATGAAAAAAATAACAAGACAAATGGGCTAAGTCTGAGGATTTTTTTTTGTTGAAATTCTCAAACTATGGCAAATATATAATTCTTTTTGTGTTGTAATGATTTAAATTTTTTTTTTCAAGATTATGGAGATCAAACGCGTATCTCTCTTCAGAATATTCTAAATCCTTTTCATCTGATAATAAAACAGCAACGTTTTAATTTTTTTTTAAAGTTCATTTTTTATGCATTTTATTGTGCATTCTTTTTTCAATCGGAACTTGTTAACAAATATAAGTACAGCTCTGAAATTGTGGCTGAATATTCCCCTTTTATGGAAGAATGAAACGAGTTATTACTTTCGTTCTTATCACTTTCCCTTTTCGAAAAATCCTTGATTTTCTTGAAGCCTCGTCTCGCAACAAGTTGAGTTTCCAAGAAAAGCAAAGATTTTTCGAAAACTGAAAAGTGATAAGACAAAAGTAATCAAAATGTATTTTTGACCAAAAAAATGAGAACACTGCAAACAGGAAATTGCAAAAACATGTATATACAATTTTTATACTTACCACACTCGCGATGCGCGAAAAATTCGCGAAAATATTTCAAAAATGATTTCGATTTTCATACTTTTAAAACTGACAAATATGAAGTTCTTTTTGTGTTTTAAAAATTGAATTACTTTTTTCAAGATTATGGAGGCCAAACGAAGCTGATGAAAACATTAGAAATTAAATATTTTTAGAAAATTGACGCATTTGAAAACGGTTTTTCGCTTTAAAAATTTGTTTTTTTGTATGAGAAAGATATATCCTTAATCTGTGATCTCGCATTATAATAATTTAAATATATCCTGCAAAACTAATATAAATTACATACATATATCAAAACTCCTCAGATTTATCCCTCGTCCGTCCTAAAGCTGGGTTAACGTTATTGTCACATCACGTGAGCTCACAAATTGCATACAAACCACGAGATATAACATTAACTCGCGATATCTCTATTGTCTCCCACGCGTCTGCAAAAAAATCACTTTAGATTTAGATGCGTGAGATTGCGTGATATCTCGTGTGATGTGACAATGGTGTGCATCCGCGTTTATCCGCTTTTTCGACTATTACACAGTGTGAACCTCCCCAGGTTGATGTCCCTCACTTTCCCCAAATGTATCTTTCTTCTCACCATCGCTACTTAAAATCACACCGTTATTGCACTTTTCCACAGGTTCTCTTCTATACGTCTCATTTTCCTTATCGTTATGAATACTCTTTGGGATGCCTGCCGAATTGCTTTCTGATCCATTTAACCTGCTTTCTGAGCAGTTTGATTTGGTTTCTGAGCAGTTTGATTTGGCTTCTGAGTCGTTTAGTTTGTTTTCCGAGCAGTTTGGTTTAGTTTCTGATCCGCCCGACTCAGTTTCCGATCCATTTAAGCTGCTTTCTGAGCAGTTTGGTTTAGTTTCTGAACTGCTTGACTTGTTTTCTGAGAAGTTTGACTTAGTTTCTGAGCCGCTTGACTTGCTTTCCGAGCAGTTCGACTTAGTTTCTGAGATGTTCGACTTGGTTTCTAAACTGTCTTTGTTGGTTGGTTCGGAGGTTTGTTCTGCAGTCCTTTGGTCTGGAGGTACCATAAAGTTATTCCACCAACTCGAGAACGCGCCCTTGGCTTGGGAGATCGCGCCACCTAGAAAAAAAGGCGTCAAGTAGGTCGACTCGTTGCTACCGTTGATTGACATGGTGTTGGGCAAATCTTGGGATTGGACACCTTGCATTGTGGTTTGATGTGAATGGACTACCATTAAATTAAAGCAAAACTTAACAAATCACGAAAGCTAGGTAAATATTCGGTTGTTCGGAAAGTTCTTGTTATTTATGTTAAATGATGTATTTGACCCTAAATTTTTTTTACTAGACTTTGACTTTATATATCATTTTAAAGCGCGTTTTTCGCGTCTTCGGTTTGTTTTACGATTTGTTCTTTTTTTCACGACTGCAAATACAGGATGGACAAGAGGCAAATTCGCACGTTTTTCTTATTTCAGTTCAAATTAGGTCGGAAAGCTGCCGAGACAACTTGAAATATCAACGATGCATTTGGTCAAGGAACCACTAACGAACGTATGGCCCAATGGTGGTTCAAGACATTCTGCAGCGGCGACGAGAGCATTGGAGATGAAGAGTGCAGTGGTGACGACGACGAATTAAAGGCCCTGGTGGAAGCAAACCCGTTCACAACTGTTCTCTTTGCAGACGATTTAAAATTATTCAGGATTATTGATTCTGAGGCATTTAGATTGGGGATGTTGACATAAATCATTGTGACTTAAGGATTTGGGCGTCCTTTTGACCAGAAACTTAATTTTTCACACCATACAGCTCAAAAGGTGAGTGAACGTTCACGGGCGTACGGTTTTATTGCGAGAAACTGCAGAAGCGTCAGCCATACAGAGTCACTATTGGTTTTTTATTCTGCATATATCAAAATTGGAATATGCATCGTTCATTTGGAACCGAATTTACAACTGCTAAAAATTTCATAATCATAAGCCATCAAGGTACTGATGAAGAGAGACCAGCCGAGACCATGCTGATGAGTTGCGAAAAAGCACGAAACACCTACCAACGATAGGCTCTCTTTGGACGGATGAAATAAGTATGTTTGTATCTTCTTGGAGACTACGGCCACAAACAACTAGACTAAATAACGTTAGTATCTTAAGAAAAACTTACCAACAGCTTTTCCTGTATTAGCAACTGCTTTCCCTGTTGTTGCCATTGCTTGGTTCAGTTTCCGGCCACTTTCCGTATTTTGCATTGTACTGCAACACAATCATATTTTTTAGATCCCTCATTAGGCTGATAAGCTATTTCAATTGTGCATCGACATTATTGATATCAATATTTAATGTCAAAAAATTCGTTCATGGTGGAAATCGCAGCAAGCACTTCCGCCATAGCCTTGTTGTTGATTGAATATAATAAATTGAACATAGAGATAAAATCCACCACTTTGTTTTGTATAAATTTTAAAGTAGCGCTAAGACGAATCCAACGACACCTCATATGTGAAAATCCGTCCAGCAGTTTGGCCTGTAGGTGAAAATATGCACGTTTTCCATATCAACCCGAATGATAATCACTCTCCGCGTGACGTCACTTCCTCGCGTATTCAGTTGCCGCGTAATTCAAATTTGTATGTAAACTTTCCTACTAGAGTGATACTTACTGTGCCAGTCGTAATTTCATATCAGCGTAAGATAATTGTCCAGCAAAGGGATGACCTGGGTGAACCTCAAGAATACCGGGATTGATTCCACTCAACCACATTTTATAGTTATGGGTCTCCCTCCACGCAGTTATGAACGATGAATTGAAATGATCCAGTTCCCTGGCACCATCTAGAGAATCGGGAAGTACTATCAGTAATGTCACCATTATTTGTACCAGTGATTGACATATTCCCGAAAACGTCCAACTACTCCATATGATTTATAAAAAACAGTATTTATCTTATATTTAAAGACGAAGGAAAAATGAACGAAAATCAACACAAAACTCAAGCTAAAAATGTTGGATGATATAGTGACAAAACATTCCTATTTTGAGTACAATTAAAATGAGATTTTTAAACTGCTTACCTTGAATCATCGAGGTCCTTAGAAGGCAGAGTAAGTAAACCCTAAACTGGGTCCTTATCCATTCTTCACTACCTTCCCATCCAACTCCGTCTAAGAAATCATCTTGGCTCTCCTCTGAGGCATGCTTCACCAAATATTCCGCAAACCTAGGAAACACACGGAAAAAATGTATATTCAAAAGTTTTGGCACAAGATACACGTTTCAAAACTAATGGAAAAAATTAAAGGATCAAATAAAAATTGTGGATTTTTTGCTTTGTTTGTAGTACCGAATCTCAGTTAAAAGTGGTCGTATTGAGGTAGTATTTTAAAGCTTCAAATGTCCAGTTCTTCATCCTTCTGATAAAAAAATTGAGGCTACAGATTCCTCGCAATCCTAGGAAAGATTGTTCAGAAAAAATGCAGATCTTGCATTTCTTAATACATATTTCTATTCAGGTTCACGGACTTGAAAAAATATATTTCCACTAAACCATTAGATGATGGGCTCAAAAACCTGTTTCTTTTTGATGGAAAAGGACTCTTTTTGGCTTTGATCATCGATATCTTAGGAATCAATCATCGCACAGAAAATCAAAGGGTGGTTTCAAAATTTAAAATGGAAGGATGGATTATTTATCAAAGAACATTTTTTTCATCTTTAATATGAGCTGTAAAAACAGGGAAAAGGGGGCAATTTATGATTTCTGGAAATAGCAAGTGCCAAAGTTGCAAATATTAACAAAGTAGCTAATATTGAGCGTGACTTTTACATTTCCATGTACGCGCAATAACCCTGTAAAATTTCTTTTTTTGCTTTAACAATCAGTTTTGAAAAAATTAAAGGTTCACGTTTATAGCCGCTAAAAGCTTTATAATGGAAAACGTGTTTTTTAATTATTTTTTTGTACAAAAAGTATTCAAACTTGGGGAAAAAATCTTTAAAAAATGGACGGAAAATGTGGGTGAAATATCAAAAATAAAATGTTTTCATGATATAGCTTTTAGCAACAATAAATATGATTTTTTCATTTTTTCTAAACATTGTTCAAAACAAAAAAACGACTTTGTAGATCACTGTTACAATTTTACAGAATTATTGTAAAGTCACGCTCAATCAATATTTGCAATTTAGCTTTAAGTTTTCCACAAACAAAAATCCCTTTCTCAATGAAAAAAATTGTTTTTGCATAAATGATCCATGATTCTGTTAGAAAATCTGTTCCCGATTTGAAACCACCCTTTGATTTTCCGTGTGATGACTGGTCCTTGAGATATCAATGATCAAAGCAAAAAAGGACCCTTTATCATTAAAAATTCAGTCTTTCAGCAAAAAATCGTTATATGGAGGTTTTGAAAAAGCAAACTGAAGCTAAATAAACAGAATATTTAAAACATTTTCCGAGTCCATCGACCTAAATAAAAATATGAAAATTGCAATATTTTTCCTTCACAATTCCACCAAGATTGCGTGGAATCTGTAGCTTCAACAGTTTATCTACAAAGAGATCTAAAAACTAGACATTTGAAACTTCAAAATGCCTCTCCCAGAACCTCAATAGGACTATTTTTTTACTGATATACAGCATTTGAAACAAGAGCTTAAAATTTACAATTCTTACTTGATCCCCCTTAAAGTATGTATAAATGCTCAAAAATCCAAGTCAAATACGATATTCTCTAGTCTTTTACTATCTTTGTCCGATATCCGATCTTTTAACAAAATCAACTTTTTCGAGATTCTAGACAAATCATACCTCAAATCCTCGGTAGTCAAATGTAGATATTTCCTCAAGTTGATATCAGGACATTCTATTCTACCACTATCAATATCAACTAGAACATCATACAGTTGCCTTTTTTGTTTAAAAAGAAAATTTGTTGTTCCAACAATATAACTCCTAACGTTCACGTCTGACAACAGATCCATGTAAGGCAAAGATAGATAGGGTAGACATAAGGAACCTGGAAAATAAATCGATAATCAAGAAAAATCTTGAAGAAACTGAGATTGTAAAATATCTAATACTTTCCAAGCAAAAGTACGAGTGCTAAAACTTGCTATCCAAGCGTCAAACGTAAGATCTCGCGCAAAAACTGTAACGTAATAGGTTTTGTATGGTTTCTAGAATACAAATCAAATCCTATTCGGTGTGTTGCATTCGGTGGGAATCCAGAAGATGTAAATAGATTTCAGCTCTCAAAAATGCAATTTTTGTATTTGAGATTCATCATACATCACCTTTGGTGTAAATTGATAGAGGAAATCCACAACTTTCTGTGCTGAGATTTGCTAAATATGACATATTATTCTGTACAACATCAGAAATTGTATCCGAACTCAATTCTCTTCTAAGACTACTACTCTTCTCGCCTATATTTGAAGTAGCACTGATTGGAGAATCTTCTTTTATTTGCTGAAAAAAGTTGAAGCTGAACTCAATTTTGAAGATAGTTAAGATTTTTCAAAATATGTCTTTGTTTGTTGAAGATTTATTTAAAATTAATTCTACAATGTCAATTTTGTATAATTATTATTTGCAGATTTTATTGAGTAAATTTTCTGCAATTTTGAGTATTCATAAAGTGATTTTTTTAATTTCACCTTTCACAATTTGAACACTGTTTAATACCATTACAGTCTTAAAAGGTAGTGTCCAAATGTCTATGTGTTTTATATATATATATCAATGTATCGTACGCAAATATTTGGTGAATAAAAAAAATGAAAATCGTATTTTTGTACAGGATAAAAAACATCCAAAAACACTACGAATTAAAACTGAACGTTCAAGTTCTAAAATATTTCTTACATTATCCAAAGACTCAGTCACTTCTAAAGCATATTCTGTATTATCTACTTCACTATCATTTTCTTTGCCTTCCAAACTACAGTTCCTCTCCACCATTCCATTTTTTTGCGCCTCGTTAGCGACGTTTTTGTCATCTTTTGTAGTGATTTTATCTGTGCCATTAGAAAATACTTTGTTATTAACAACAGGACTCAATTCTTCGTCTGAGTACTCTGGCATTGGGGACATTGGTCTAGACAACCTGAAACAAACAAAAAAACAAAAAAAAATGAAAGCATAATAGAGGATGAAATTGCTTTTGCTTGTTTTTGTGAATATATCTTTACCTTATGCACGCAGATTGGTCTAGTCCATTTTCTATCATTTCAGGGAATAGCGATACTAACGTTAAAATTGTAGAACATAAGGGATGTACAGGTGACTTAAAAAACATAACCCTCTTTTCAAGTAACAACAGCTTGAAAAGCTGTAATGCCTTGTTTTTCCATTGCAATATAAATTCTTTAGCTGATAAACCTGAAATCACGAAAATACATTGCAGTTCTTGCAACATTTAAAAACTATCAAAATATTGTCAAACAGTTATAGCTCAATGGATTATAATCAATATATTTGAATTTTAGAAAAATTATAGGATAAATTAACTATCCTTTCGATATAATAAACACAATTTTTATATAGCAACTGTAGAAAAAAAATTGTTAAATAATTGAAAAAAAGTGTATTTATTACATAAAAATTGTCGCATTAACTTCACTTACCAACAAAACTATGTTGTCTCATATCATATTGTTTCATCACAGCATTTAAATGGTGAAAGGTTTCCTCCAAAATTGAAACCTTGCTAAAATCCCCTTTTTCAAAATACGCATGGGTAATAAGATGCATTTTGACTTGTATCTGTCCATACAGAGGCACTCTGCTTAACACACATACTGACTTTTGCACAGTGCCTCTGGTTATATCTGATGTCTTGTTTTTTATTTTCTGAAAGCATCATCAACATTTGGTCATTGTATCTCGAAAATTTGGGAATATATTCGCTTTTTCAGAAAAGAAAGCCAAAATTGAGATGTATGATTTAGATGAAGCCCATTTGTGATGTTTTGTGTTACTACATACATATACAGTAATGGACAAAAGTATATAGACAAATATGAATATTTGCCTAAATTCCTTTAGAAAACGAATTCTTACTTCATTACTCCATAATCAAATGCGTTATTAGCAGAAAAAGTGCAATGAACACAATACAAGTCTGAATATAAGCACACAAAAATATGTAGAAATATTCTTTTCAACATTAGTACAGTTTCGTGTCAGAAGACGATTAGTTTGTGTTCATCAAGTATTGTGGAATAAGTTGAGTGATTTTAAGACCAAGCCGCGTGGTCCAGAAATTTCTTTCAATGTGAAAACTAAGATCTTTGAGTTATACAAAGATGGTCAACATCAAGTCGACATTGCCAAAAATGTGAAGCTGAAGTGTAAAACAGTTTGGGCAATATTGAACAAATATGAACAAAAAGGTATCTTGGAAGCCTCTAAGAGAAGTGGTAAGGTAACAAACCTTTTTTTTGTTTATATTAAAAACGTTTATATAAATATATGTTTTAAGTGTCCCAGTTTCTTAAATATATTTAGTTTTCATTAACAACAGAATTGTGGTTGTATTTCTTTTATATGGTCACCTCTCTTGAACGGACAATTTTACTCAGTCTCACTGGTCTCCATCCAAAAGAGATTTCACTTTTTTTTTTTATATACACTTATATACAAGTTTTAGATAATTACAATGTTTGATTGCTTGTTTTGCCCGTCTTTCCAAATATTGTGAACCACATTTTGAAATAAATTTTTTACAAAACAAATTAATGGATTTTATTAAAAAATGTAATACAAAAAATCATCTAATCACACTTCACTTTAGTCAGCTTCAGCTGAAGTTTCTTTTGGTGAAGAAAAAATGTTTTACCTACAGAATTAGTGTGCATTTATTGGCCCGACAAGAAGCTAAACGTAGGTTGTCGATTTTCTGAACTCTTAAACAGTTTAATTCGTCAGTGGTTATAACTTCCTTATGTTTGTGCCATGATTATAATATGTCAACTATAACCCATGATTTAATTTGGTTCAGAAATGTGCCCTTGTAACAATGACCTATCATCAAGTAAAACACTATGCTGATTACTAAAAATACAGTCAAGTAGACTGACTCAGTATCAAGCATCTTGACTACACGCCACAAAATCATGTCTATCCGATATCCTGCAATGTGTAAAGGCTAATAAAAACACTATTGTATGCATCTACATCATAACTTCGTCACCAACAGCTAGGAATCTTCGTCTCCTTGTCAGAATGCACGATTTATATTTACGGACTTCACAATACAAAATCAGAGACATTTAGCAGCGCATAATACTTACCTCCACAGGGATTTGTCGAAAGCAAGATATTCCATATACAGTCTGTTTAGGGCTTGCAAGACTGGGCAAGTGGAAGAATACCGTGTCCGTATCATAATTATGAGATCCATCTGGCAATGCTAATGTCGGTAGGTACTTCCAACCGGGTGGACACTCGTTTGGATGACCGGGATAAAGCTCTGGATACGAATATTCCACCTGAAATTACAATCGTAAAAACACTTGTTCGTTCCAGGGGGTAAAAGGGCCCTAAAGCGGTGTCTACCTGGCAGCCCTTTTTGTGGTGGAAGCCGACAACGAGGACGTACAGAATTGGCTCCTCATTTTCACTCATTCTACAAGGTTTTTTCGTTTGAAACAACACATTAAAGAGAAAAGAGGAAAAATTGCATTTGTATTGACGTTCTGCAACTAAACAATTTTATTTTTCACGGTTGGCAATTTTGTGTCAGCAATCAGGGAATCAGTGTTGCCAACATTTCCAACGGATAGTAATGTTATTTTCTACTGTGGGCTGCAATGAGTGAGCAGTTCTGCCAACACTGACTAGAAAAGATAGTGTCAGTTAGGCAGGTAAAACAGTGTTGCCAATCCTATTTGAGAATATTTTATAAGATATAAAGCGTTCGCACATAGTTTTTCTGTTCTGTCGGCGACTTGTTTAAAATTCGATACAGAAATTTATTTAACCCTAGAGTGGCGAAAACTAACAGAGGGCCTATGCTATTTAATTGTTCAAATGAATGTAATCAATCTAAGCAATATGCAAACTATCTTTATTCTACGCTTCCTAGAGTTACCTTACAATCGTTGTCCAAAGATCAGCATAAATACCTTTGTAGAAATGTTTTAGAGAAACAACTGAAAATATCAGATGGTACTTTGAAACATAAGGTTACCGTACAATTAAGTAGGTCTTCAAGGCTTTGCTAACGGTTTTGAGATCTTTGAGAAATGAGTGTAAGTACATAATACTTACAAGAACGTTATATTTGTCCACGTTTCTGTGAATTTCTTTTTATAATAATGTATTACAGGGTGGCCAAGATAAGGATCAGACTAGGTTAAATTCAGTAATCACACAAACTTACATCAAGCATTTGTTTGCAACGCCTACCTAGAAAAAATACGTATGTTTATAACTTAAAAAAATATATCTAACGTGAAACATCGTTGAAGTCGTAGAAAAAGAAGCTATTAAATACATAGTCGTACTTTTTTAAATGTTGTGCACTTCGGGCACATTTAAAACCACCATCATGAAGTGCCATTAGTTTTTTGACATTTCTTAAAATATAGTCAGATAAAAATGAAAACGATTTGGCCATATTTTAGTTTTTCCCAAATACCTCAGTATATGACTAATCTCTCAGTGTATGCAATGTGAGCAATTTATTTAAAAAACATAGGATGTAAAGTAGATGGGTATGCAAGGCTCACCTACTTTGCTGCACATGTATCCTGTTTCCCTCAGAAGAGTTGGAAGTAGAACTAATTTTCACTTGACACCCACGTCACAACACTAAAACACCAAAGCACCACTGAGAGACAATCGAGAACCCTATAGTGAACACCACTTCTAAAAAAATAGCTAAACCAAATAGAGCTTTTCAGGGAGCCGTGAACGCGTGGACATTCTGCTGCGCCGACGGTTGCCGAGAGACTGAAGCGTGTGACTGCTGTACCTCGATGCGGTGACACAGCACGGCCGGATAGTACAGCCACGCCTCTTTCCAGCTCCCATTCCGCGCGTCTGCGTTTTCTTATCTGACAGTATCACGATCGCGAAGCGATTCGATGTTTACGTTGACCGGGAGCAGACGCGCGGAGTGGGAGCTGGAAAGGGGCCGTACCGTATCGCCGCAGCGAGGTACAGCACTCACACGCTTCAGTCTCTCGGCAACCGTCAGCGCAGCGAAATGTCTACGCTTTCACAGCTCCGTGCAGAGCCCTATTTAGTTTAGCTACTTGTTTTAGTAGTGGTCTTCACTATAGGGTTCTCGATTGTGTCTCAGTGGTGCTTTAGTGCTGTGACGTGAGTGTCAAGTGTCTCCAATGTGGAAATAAGGTCTACTTCCAAATCTTTTGAGGGATATCTGTGCAGCAAACTAGGTGAGCCTTGCATACTCATCTTGTGTGTTAGGGCTGATATCCTATGTTTTTTAAATAAATGAGAATTTTAATAACGTTGTATAGTAGACGACAACGATATTTTATTCGTTTAAATTTTTTGCCGATAGTCATAAAACGGCTATAAAATCGAGAACCGGAAGCATGAGGACAGATACGGATCTGAAAATTTCCAAAACTCTTCTCTTGCAAGTCTAAATGAGATGAGAGATGACTGAATCAAGTTCTTGAAGTAACGTTAAAAGTAGTTGAAAATACTTACCTAATTTGCTATCTTGAGGAGCTTTCTTCCAGAAACACGCACTTCAAAATCATTCACCTAAATACATATTTCATTTCACTTTCACACTTTACTTCTTTATTTAAAAAATGTGCTACAAAGCTTAATCCTTTTCTTCCGAAGAATATGTTCCCGAGTACCGCTCTGCTGCATCGCGCTGAATTCACCTGCGTGCGGGGCTCGGGATGGGGGTTCAGGTCTTCATAGCGCAGTCACATTATGTGAATTTGTTGCTATGACAGTATCGAAGCAATGCGATTTTTAGATTCGCTACATTTAAATCATTTATATCGAACCATTAGAGCGTTTTAGGTTATTGCGCATTGCCTAAATGTATAATTTATACAGATGAAACAGATTCCATTATTATTTATACCGTATAATATAATGACCGTACTATATGGCGGGACGGCAACACAAGGAAGCAGAAAAGACATTCTAGCAAAATAGCAGAGGTAGCAAAATTGTCCGACGAGCTGGCAACGCCGCAATCTGAGTGATCAGAATGACAAGATCGTATGTCTATCCCCGGGTAACGACGGAGTGTTCAGTTAATCAAAGCGGCAGTTTTCCAGTCTTCATTTGCATTTTTCAAGCGGTGTGCAACGATTTCGAGAAAACTTTCGCTACGAATAGTCTTCTAGAGTCTAGTAGAGTATATTTCAATAATTGTCTTGAGTGTCCATGTTATCTTTACTCGGGCCGTATAATTTTTGTATTATATTACATTCCTAAAAATTTTACACAACTTCCGGATGTAGCACTCTATATTTTGTAAAACCATGACAGGATCAGTTCTGCCAACTGCACAATCATAAAATCTCCATGTTCTATTTTTCAAATTCTCAATTTGAAATGAATGCAGAAATGAATTCTTGTGTTTATGTCTGTGTTGTGCTAAATTTCGGTAGTGAACTCATCCTTACATTGTGCATAACGTTTCGTAATTAATCAAGATTGAGAAAAGATAGTTTAAGCACACCTCCCCATGCTTCCATATATTACATTAAAAGTGCACTCAATTCGTTAACTTTAAGAGTAACTGTTGTATGTTGGGGATGCTTGTACGGTTTTAACTTTGATTTTGATGTGAAATTTCGTAAAGGATTTGTCCGTTTTGTTTTTTTGTGTAGTGAAAAGAATTTCGCCCAAAATGTGTCGCGCTATAAAGATAATTATGCGAGATGTTTGAACTAGTAGCACAACTTAAATAACAATCAGCTATGAAACTCTCCTGTCAGTGTCGAAAACGGCCGCTGTTTCGGCGGAGAAAGTCGAATGTAAATTCCCCCAGTACAAATATGAAAGGATTTTTAGTGCTCAGCCGCTGCCGGTACACTATATAATATCGAAATATTATCATTTTAAGATTGCAAAGAATATCTGCGGCCGGTGGCGTGACACAAGCCAACACCGGCTGCTGCTTAGAACTAAAACCTCTTTCATCGTTGGAGTGGGGGAATTTACATTCGACTTTCTCCGCCGAAACAGCGGCCGTTTTCGACACTGACAGGAGAGTTTCATAGCTGATTGTTATCTAAGCTGTGTGCTAGTAGTGATTGTGTGTCAACTCAAAAAATAGCAAAAATGAACACGACATATTAAAGCTTAATGTCTATATTTATTTATTACAAGTACATGCTTGGTAGTAAACATTTTAATCAGAGTATTCTTCTTCGGTTTCATATGCCGAACTGACTTCACTCTCCACCTGACATCTCAAGCATTCTTTGCCCATATCTGTCCAACATTCCTCACAGTACAACAACAAACAGTACTCGTTCTCGCATTGGACGAAATCGCTCCTATTTCTGGGTTCAGGTTCTTCGCAAAGCAGGCATTTTCTTCTGGCGCAGGCGAAAAATCTCAACCAATCGCACTGGTTCGGGTAGTTCATGCGGATAATAGCGCAGACGTTGTAGTCGTCTTTCAGCCGTTTTTCTTTCGCGAGTTGCTTCACTTTCTTTTTCATGAATCTGGAAAATTGGTAAACGGGGTCTCAATATCTGTATTTCAGGAATTTGTCTCCAAGAACTGTTTGTTTATATAATAGTAGTGTCCCAGCCTATGGGGGCAAACTAATTTTTGTTCGAATTGAGATACGCGTATCCTCTATTTTTTTCCATTTGTCCCCAACAACTCAAAAAATAAATATTACTGAGTTAGAAGGACTTTTGATCAAACTGTGGATTTAATAGTTAACGGGGCTCTTACAATCACGAGTACCATCTGCTGAGGTAACGGGGGGTGAAAAGGAAACGAGGGTGGGCTGGCTCTAGACGATCGTCGTCACTAGTTTAATGAGGAAAGGATGACTGCCTGTGCATGTCAAGGTAAATTTTTATAACAACAGAGTCATATTTCGATTAGCGATCTAGAATGTAAATCGTTTCTTATTTTAGGATAGGATCTTTTTAAAATATGAAGAAGTTGAGCACAAATAGTAAGCATTTCAATCCACCATAATTCTTGCGCAAAGACAAAATTTCAAAAAGTGCTCCTATAGCACCCTCGGCAATTATCTTCTGAACATACTGTATGGATTCCATTAAAAAATATTGAAAAACGGAGTGTCAGTTTCAAAGCAGCTTGAAACTCACTGCGTCGGAGCCGCCTTAACAGGAAAACCGAATCCTTACATAAAACTTTATTTACAATTGTTTTGTCATTTTTCAAGCAAATTTAGAGGGTATGCGTTTGAAAAAACCCTAACGAATATGTCTTACCTGGAAAATCCAATTCGTCTCTTCAAACTCTCGTTATACAAAAACAACACCCTCTTCTTTTCTCTCTTCCTGTAAAAATACGCGCAAATCGCTCTTCTGAGCCTCAAAATGTACGCTTGTATCACCATCATGCACCACACTGCAAAGTAAATGCCGTATATTTTCAGCAAGTAATATTTCGATAGCTTGTTAGGCCTTGGAAGGCACTGCTCGTTGGTCCGTTTGATCCTTATGCGTTTTTTTACGTTGAATCCTTTGATTATTGAACGCAGGACTTGGGCTATCATCCCTGTACCTAAGGATAAACATTCCATTATTGTGACTTGGAGGCTAGTTCTGCTACTGGCAGAACACTACTAATTCGTAAAACACCGAAGTACTCATAAATAAACTTTGTTGAACATAAAAGTATGAAAAAGAGGAACGTACAGCTCTTTTGAAGAGCTGCAGGCTTTTACAGATTATGCAAAAGAAGGTTGAATTTTCCAAAAATAATAACGTTCCAAACGAAAAAAAAAACGTATCCACCCTTCAGGGTGGCTTATAAAAATAAGCAGAGAGTTAAACTTGCTTGAACAGATTTTCTAAATTGCAGAAAATACGTTTCTGCGCTCCAAACCATTCTAAACGAAAAGGGCACTTAGGACTGTATTGTGACAAATAGCGCCATCTGTTGGGCGAGTCTCCTACTCGCCAGAGCTTAATTGCCGATCTCTGCTTTTACACGGCCGCACAAGCCGCCTGGCGGCGTCTGTGAGGACCGTGGATCGCCTTCTAGATCGACGCGAAGCGATCTCCAACACTCTAGATGTCGCTTGTGATCTTTCTGCAAGCGGGAATTGGGACTATAGATAACTCGGCGGCCGGAAGATGGAGGCAGAGTACGGAATACGGTGGAGTAGCAGAGCGGAGTAAGGTATAGTGCAGTCAATGGTGGCATAAGAATTAGTCAGACATAAATAGTGGTGTATATAAATGTTTTATCATGATAAACAAATCAGTGTATTTCTTTTTGGGGAATCCAGTGTTTTAATCCACACCCAAAAGGACCCAACGCTACAGTATTTATAGACGCCCTTGAGGTTTGCCGTTCGAGAAATGCCCTGTCCCTCAATTTTAGACAGATGAGGATTCAACATTTATATTTCACAATAGACTGTTTCAGTTGTCATCAGAGGTTTCCATTATTTGAATGATTTTCACAGTTTGCACGACTAGCGACATTTTCAACACTAGCACAATCTTAAGAACTATTCAATTTGCAAAATTTTCAGCACTTTAAAAGTGTTCTGCTATCGAAATTCGAGGAATCTACAGTATTTCAAAATTTCGAAAAATATGAAAATTCAAAAAGCGACATTTTAAAATTTTCTGTTGAATTTGCTCTTCAGTTTTCTGTGTCACCCTGTAGAAAACGATTTCGAATCTAAATTTGTCTAGTGCATTCAAAAACCGACAGCATTTAATAGAAGCATCATGGAGTAAAACTAATAGGAATGAATATAAATTTTTGCAGTATTTTCTAAGAACCCCACCTACAACTTGTAGTTGAAGATCGTGATGTCCCGTCTGCAGATACTCTATCCTTGCATGCCTCCTAATCAAATCCAATGATTCATAAAACATCCAGTCCAGTAAAACCAATATCGTCACTACCATCACTTCAAGAAGCAAAATTGCCGTTTCAGAAAAGATTTTTTCCCTTTCTTTCTTCAGGGGCGTTACAGATCTTGGGTCGACTAGTTTCTTCCTTTCGATCTTCTTTAGTGGCAGTAATGTGTACTTCTCTTGTACCCTTCTTCTTGCATCTATCTTACGAAAATATCTAAAAAGGGCATCAAAAGAAACGACTCTCAACCCAAAATAAAACTTCTTATTCAAGGACGCCATACGTACCTCGTGATATAAATGTTATCGAACTCAATATCCCTCAAATACCGATCATGGTACTTCTGCGACTCCAATATGATCCTCAGGAATATAAACGCCAAAAGCCGTTTCAGTATCGTCAGTATTTGAAACAAGATGTACTTTTTCCTGTTGATCTCATGCATAACAGCAACTGCCGTATCTTTGGCATCTCTAAGGTCTTTCAGCTTCTTGATCTTGCCGATTTTATATTGGAGCTTGACGTCTTTCAGATTCGAAGAGAATCTATCCTTGGCACTTTTAAGGTAGACGTATCCATCTCCGAAACCTGGGTCCAGTTCCTTTGAGGGATCGCAACGACTTGTACCTCCAAGTGCATCGCCGATATTGCAGATAAAGTCGAGTTTCATTGGCCAACACAGCAGCCAGGACACTAGCTACGATTTGAAATCAGTTTAAACTAGATAGTTGCCATTTTAAGTTTGTTAAAGGCTAGCTAAATTAATCAAATTAACTAAAAAACTAGCTGTAACTAAATATTAGCTAAGCGGGCTAGCTATAATCCTGTCATATTAGCTAGAAAACTAGGTGAAACTTGAGAATAGTTAGACGGACAGCTAAAATTTGAGATCGACCTGGTTATCTAAAAGACTGAGGTTAGATGAAGGGAACAACTAACATTTTAAATAGACCAGGTTAGCTAAAAAATGGGTTGGAATCTGAGGATGGTTACGTTTACTTATTAGTTGCAGAAGCTGTTTGACCAGGTGAATCAGATTACCAACACAAACTAGCTACGATTTAGTATCAGTAACAGGATTAGTTAAAAGACTAACCGCAATCTGAGCTTGGTGAAGTGAGCCAGCTAGAGTTTGAAATCGATCAAATTAACTTAAAGTCTAGATGCAATCGTTAAGAGATCAACCGGATTAGCTAAAATGTTGTCTGTTAGTTAAAAAGGCTAGCTACAATTTGAGATCAATAAGATTAGTTAAAGGATTAGCTGCAATAGTTAGAGATCGACCGGATTAGCTAAAAGGTTGCCTGTAATGTGGGGTTAGCTAACGGCAATTTGAGATTAACGAGATTCACTCAAAGACTATCTGCACTTTGAGACCTTGAGCAGATTAGCGAAAGAATAGGCTAGAAGAGGTCAGCTACATTTTGAAATCGATCAGTCAAACGTCCAGCTGCAATCTGGAATTAGCCAAAGGGGATAGATGCAATTTGAGGTGGATCAGATTACCAAAACAAACTAGCTACGATTTAATATCAGTAACAGGATTAGTTAAAAGACTAACCGCAATCTGAGCTTGGTGAAGTGGGCCAGCTAGAGTTTGAAATCGATCAGATTAACTTAAAGCCTAGATGCAATCGTTAAGAGATCAACCGGATTAGCTAAAAGGTCATCTGTTAGTTAAAAAGGCTAGCTATAATTCGAGATCAATGAGATTAGTTAAAGGATTAGCTGCAATAGTTAGAGATCGACCGGATTAGCTAAAAGGTTGCCTGTAATGTGGGGTTAGCTAACTGCGATTTGAGATTAACGAGATTAACTCAAAGACTATCTGCACTTGGAGACCTTGAGCAGATTAGCGAAAGAATAGGCTAGAAGAGGTCAGCTCATTTTGAAATCGATCAGGTTAGCCAAACGTCTAGCTGCAATCTGGAATTAGCCAAAGAGGCTAGCTGCAATCTGAGGTGGATCAGATTACCAAAACAAACTAGCTACGATTTAATATCAGTAACAGGATTAGTTAAAAGACTAACCGCAATCTGAGCTTGGTGAAGTGGGCCCTAGAGTTTGAAATCGATCAAATTAACTTAAAGCCTAGATGCAATCGTTAAGAGATCAACCGGATTAGCTAAAAGGTTGTCTGTTAGTTAAAAATGCTAGCTATAATTCGAGATCAATAAGATTAGTTAAAGGATTAGCTGCAATAGCTAGAGATCGACAGGATTAGCTAAAAGGTTGCTTGTAACGTGGGGTTAGCTAACTGCAATTTGAGATTAACGAGATTAACTCAAAGACTATCTGCACTTTGAGACCTTGAGCAGATTAGCGAAAGAATAGACTAAAAGAGGTCAGCTACATTTTGAAATCGATCAGTCAAACGTCCAGCTGCAATCTGGAATTAGCCAAAGGGGCTAGCTGCAATTTGAGGTGGATCAGATTACCAAAACAAACTAGCTACGATTTAATATCAGTAACAGGATTAATTAAAAGTCTAACCGCAATCTGGGCTTGGTGAAGTGAGCCAGCTAGAGTTTGAAATCGATTAAATTAACTTAAAGCCTAGATGCAATCGTTAAGTGATCAACCGGATTAGCTAAAAGGTCATCTGTTAGTTAAAAAGGCTAGCTATAATTCGAGATCCATGAGATTAGTTAAAGGATTAGCTGCAACTAGTTAGAGATCGACCGGATTAGCTAAAAGGTTGCCTGTAATGTGGAGTTAGCTAACGGCAAATTGAGATTAACGAGATTAACTCAAAGACTATCTGCACTTTGAGACCTTGAACAGATTGTCGAAAGAACAGGCTAGAAGAGGTCAGCTACATTTTGAAATCGATCAGTCAAACGACCAGCTGCAATCTGGAATTAGCCAAAGGGGCTAGCTGCAATTTGAGGTCGATCAGATTACCAAAACAAACTAGCTACGATTTAATATCAGTAACAGGATTAGTTAAAAGACTAACCGCAATCTGAGCTTGGTGAAGTGAGAAAGCTAGAGTTTGAAATCGATCAAATTAACTTAAAGCCTAGATGCAATCGTTAAGAGATCAACCGGATTAGCTAAAAGGTTGTCTATTAGTTAAAAAGGCTAGCAACAATTTGAGATCAGTAAGATTAGTTAAAGGATTAGCTGCAATAGTTAGAGATCGATCGGATTAGCTAGAAGGTTGCCTGTAATGTAGGGTTAGCTAACTGCACTTTGAGACCTTGAGCAGATTAGCGAAAGAATAGGCTAGAAGAGGTCAGCTACATTTTGAAATCGATCAGTCAAACGTCCAGCTGCAATCTGGAATTATCCAAAGGGGCTAGCTGCAATTTGAGGTAGACCATTAGCTAAATGCTGAACTATTAGGTTAGTTAGAGAGACTAGCAATGGTTAGAGATCCGGGCTAGCTATTAGCTGCGATGTGGGGTTAGTTAAAGGGGCTAGTTGCAAATTAAGATCGACTATATTAGGTAGCTATAATCTAGGGCAGTTAAAGGGGTTACCTACAATTTGAGATCGATCAGGTGAGTTGAGACTAATATAGAATACGGGGAAAAATGGATGGTTCAAAGCCGTTACAACTTCAAACATAGGGTCAATTGAGATTTCTTAGATCAGGTGAAAGGCTACATATCTTCGTTGCTTTGGATGATGATTTAGAAATTATAGAATACTTGTCATATAACATCTGTGGAATTACCCAAGTGACAGCGTCATAACACTTGTCATAAGCACTCGCAAACATTTTTCTACATCTCTGTGCAGCCTTAGTGAATTGATTCTGGCACCTCATCTCTATCTTCTTCATATACATTTTTTCAAACTTCTCAGCTTCGGCTTGTTCACCCACCGTTTCATACTTTTGATTCATCAGTTCAGATCTTTTCGTATCGCCTGTTAGATAAACCTAGCTTTAAACGAAATATACTGGAATCATCTAGTGTTTATCAAAAAGTCTGTTGACTGCCAAAACGACAGGAAAAGGAAGGTTTGGAGCTGAATTTGAATATGATCATGGAGATATATAAAAGTACAGAATACATTTTGAGATGGACTCATTGTCCAATGAGTTGGAAAAAATCCTCATCATTTTAGTTTCCCCATTCTTACCTACAAGTTCGTCAATATAATCGTTCTCCTCTTTCATCTTTCTGACTTCCTTCTCATCTTCTATTTCACCGATAACAGGCGCAGAGACGTCTTTGATAGACTTCACAGTATCTTTGATCTCGTCTACGCCAGTCTTCATACCAAATATCGCTTGCGTGAACGGTTTAAACATGAGTTCAAACCTGGTTTTGGTCAGATTGAACGTCAACGACGTGGTGCATGCGAAAACACGTACAACTTCTTTGCCGTTGTTTCCTAGGTTTTCTACGGGACCAGCGATGATGAAAGTGATCACAACGGCTTTTAGGACACCTCTGCCGACCTGTCAAGGCATCGGAATACGATGAAAAGTCGAAAGAAGGAGACAATTCTAAAGAGCGTAGAATACAGTAGGCGAGACGAAAATTTCCCTTCTTTTTATAATATCGTAAGTTAGATACCTTTTATTGTTTTCCTGTAATTGTTCAGGTACAAAAGTAATAATGAATTTTGTACAACAATTTAATACAGGTAATATCACAGAAACCGATTTCTGTTGGTGTACCGCAAGGTAGCAATCTAGTACCTCTCTTATTAATTTTATACATTAATGACATTTGTGATATTTGCAGATGATACATGAATCGAAAAACAAATTTCATAGAAAATGTAATAGTTTCTTACTGATCTTGGTACTTACCTTGCCTCCTATTGTGGGGTATGTGAGGCTAATAATGCACCGAATCTGCGACGACGAGGCAATACCAAACCCCAGCATGAGGCATACGGTAGATCCGACGATAAAACCGACCTCTTCAGTAAAATTGAGATCAATTAAGATAAAATTGTAGAAGGCAATACCCAACAAAATGCCGTATACGAACCCAACGATGATTTTCAGTTTTTTGTGGGATTGCTTCTCTGTGCAGAATAAGCTGAAGAGTAGAGGACATTTTTTGAAGATCTTTCTGAGGAGCTTGCATTCGTCTGAGGCTGCCATTCTGACAGCTTGAGATTTCAGGTTAGGGAGTTTATCAAGTTGACAAACATCATCTCAGCAAGAAATAATACAGTACGAAAACCAGTTCCTTTTGATGAAAAATAACGTTTAAGCAGGTACGTGGGTCATTTTTTGAGAAGTACTCTATTCAACAGTATGGCAAGTTACAAACGGCAACCTTGTTCGGTTATCTTGATTAACAGAAGAAGCACCTATGATATTTTTTTGAGTTTCTGCTTTAAAAGTTGGTCATCAGTGCAGATAATTTTGTCGATTTTGAATTTGCACTTTTCGAAGACGTGTCCCTGATGATTTCTAAGTCCATAAATTTTACTTCCTTATCCATATACGAGTAGACATACAGGGTGTCCCAGAACTCGACGTCAAGCCGAAACCGGGCAAAGTCATAACAGCTATCAGAAAAATATTTAAAAAAATTTTATGTATGTGTTTTGAAAATTATAGGTCTTTGAAAAAAATATAGAAATTTCACACCCTACGGCAGTCTGTCAACTCTTGTTACTACAAATATTAACTTTTTTTGGATTTTATTTTTACAATGTAATGATGAATAATGCATCTTCAAACTGGTGTCTCAACCTTACTGCCAACTTTTCTCGTTCAGGAAAAATTGCCACTTATTTCCCAACCAAGTATTCCAAAGTAAAACTTTGCTCAACTTTAACTGGCTGTACTGGAAAAAATGTACTACGAGAGTTTGGCAAGTAACCTTAAAAGTTGGCGCATTTAATAAGGATTCCAAAATGGTATAACACTTAGAAGATTACTCGTTAACTTATGCACAATTTTTATTTGAAGAAATTTTTCTAAATTTCCTAATTAAACAGCGATTATGAAAACGCACAAGGACCCTTAAGGATAACTGTTTGCACAACAGTGGGCGTCAAAATGCTGCTGATGATGATTTACCTTTACAGCAAATGCTCAAACTGTTTTCCTTCAGCCGCAATACACGCTCGACATCTTCTTAAGAAAGATCGGGTTATTAAACGAGAGAATCCACGGTTATTAACAAACTCAGCTGCTTCCAATAGTCTTTGCCGTAGCTCAGCTACATTTTAAATATGCTTGAAACACACTTTTTCTTTTACAGTTCCCCAGTAAAAAAAATCTAACGGATTCAAATCTGGTGACCGGCCTAGCCACGGTATTGTACCAGACCGCCCTATCCATCTGCCTGGAAAGTTTTGATCGAGATACTCTCTCACTGAGAGTGCATAGTGGGCAGCTTACATGCTGAAACCACATGTCCCTGTAAATACTCAGTGGCACGTCCTCCAATAAATTTTCTAAATGATTTTGCAAAAAACCTAAATAAACCTCAGCAGTCAAAGTCTCTGGGAACTCAAACGGACCGATTATTTTACCATTTAAAATTCCTGTCCAATGGTTTATCTTGAAGCGATATTGAGATTTATCTTCTCTCATCAAATGTGGGTTTGCTACGTGCCACTCATGTAAGTTATGCAGGTTCATGTACCCATCTTTCTTAACCGTGGTCTCATCTGACCATAAAATTTTTTCAAAGAACCGTGGATCTTCCCTGTGTCTTTCTAACATTGTGCGACAAAAAGCAACTCGGGGCTCATAATCCCGGGGCAGAAGAGCTTGATCACGCTGTACGTGGTATGGATGGAGCACGTTTTTTTGCAAGATTCTATGGGCTGTACTTTTGGGCACACCTGTTTTTAGTTCTATTGCACGCACTGAAGTACTCGGGTCTTCTTCGACAGCTCCTAGCACCACGTCTTCGTAAGGAAGGAAATATCTTCCCTCACCGTGTGATTGGTTTGGTAGTTGGCCTTCTGAGAACAGTAATCGGTGCACATTTGTGAACACTCGATGATCTGGATGACGAGCTGCATTCGGGTACCTCTCACAGTAAAGTCTCGCTGCAGCAGTAGCGTTGCACCTGCATTCCCCATAAATGAGGTGCATGTTAGCATATTCTTGTACGGTGTACACGGACATAGCGGCACTGCACAATCACACTATCAAAGATAGTCTAAGGAAAGCAAATGTTGTTTTGAAGAGCAATTAAACAGTCCAAATCCAAATCACAAGCGATCAACAGTCCAGTTCACGAATCCAAAATTAGTAACAGTACGAAATCAACAAGCACGAACATGTAAAGATGCGCAGTAAACGAAGGAGTACTGGTCGGTATCAAAGTGTGCAATAACAAGTAAGTGATGTGCTTCATCCATACCACACACAGCGTGTTCAACCTCTCCTGCCCCGGGATTATGAGCCCCGAGTTGCTTTTTGTCGGACAATGTTAGAAAGACATAGGAAAGATCCACAGTTCTTTGAAAAAATTTTATGGTCGGATGAGACCACATTTAAGAAAGATGGGTACATGAACCTGCATAACTACACGAGTGGCACGTAGCAAACCCACATTAGATGAGAGAAGATAAATCTCAATATCGCTTCAAGATAAACCGTTGGACAGGAATTTTCAGTAGTAAAATAATCGGTCCGTTTGAGTTCCCAGAGGCTTTGACTGCGGAAGTTTATTTGGATTTTTTGAAAAATCATGTACAAAATTTATTGGAGGACGTGCCACTGAGTATTTACAGGGGCATGTGGTTTCAGCATGATGGCTGCCCAGCGCACTGTGCACTCTCAGTGAGAGAGTATCTCGATCAAAACTTTCCAGACAGATGGATAAGGCGGTCTGGTACAATACCGTGGCCAGGTCGATCACCTGATTTGAATCCTTTAGATTTTTTTACTGGGGAACTGTAAAAGAAAAAGTGTATTTCAAGCCGATTCAAAATGTAGCTGAGCTACGGCAAAGACTATTGGAAGCAGCTGAGTTTGTTAATAACCGTGGATTCGCTCGTTTAATAACCCGATCTTTTTTAAGAAGATGTCGAGCGTGTATTGCGGCTGAAGGAAAACAGTTTGAGCATTTTCTGTAAAGGTAAATCATCATCAGCAGCATTTTGACGCCCACTGTTGTGCAAACAGTTATCCTTAAGGGCCCTTGTGCGTTTTCATAATCGCTGTTTAATTAGGAAATTTAGAAAAATTTCTTCAAATAAAAATTGTGCATAAGTTAACGAGTAATCTTCTAAGTGTTATACCATTTTGGAATCCTTATTAAATGCGCCAACTTTTAAGGTTACTTGCCAAACTCTCGTAGTACATTTTTTTCCAGTACAGCCAGTTAAAGTTGAGCAAAGTTTTACTTTGGAATACTTGGTTGGGAAATAAGTGGCAATTTTTCCTGAACGAGAAAAGTTGGCAGTAAGGTTGAGACACCAGTTTGAAGATGCATTATTCAACATTACATTGTAAAAATAAAATCCATAAAAAGTTAATATTTGTAGTAACAGGAGTTGACAGACTGCCGTAGGGTGTGAAATTTCTATATTTTTTTCAAAGACCTATAATTTTCAAAATACATACATAAAATTATATTTTTCTGATAGCTGTTATGACTTTGCCTATCACCCGGTTTCGGCTTGACGTCGACTTCTGGGACACCCTGTAGATCCACACAGTCTAGAATCTCAGCGTGGACAAAATTGTAGATACTAACACCCGACGTTTGAAATAAATAATCTTCTTTTTGGACAAAAAGGTATTGCTGATTGTTTTTATATGGCTTTTTGTATTTGAAGCAGCCATTATTATTATTACCGATTCGATTTTTTCATTCACCTATTTTCAGGCCTTTTGACTTGTTTTTTCAATTATTTATATATCATGTCAGAGTTTTTCCATTCTTTATTCAATAAAATAGTCAAGGAGGTAGTCATATACATATACCAAAATGTAAAGGTCCAAGTTCAAGAAATATATTGCAATAACAATTCAAAGATCCAAAACTGTATAAATACAAAAATATTCTATTCTAAAAACGACTTGCTAGTAGCAGTGCTAAATAAATAGTGATGAATATGACACATCTTGTTTCAGTATAGACAGGTAGAAATATCATCTTTTAAAGATCCATATAAATACAGAACCATTTTACTCTAAAAACTGCCTGCTAGTTTCCATGGCTGTCAGTACCAAATAAATAGTGATGAATATGAGACATCCCGCTACAGTGCTTATCACGAACGTAGGGTTTTGCCTGAATACGACCAATAGGAAGACAGTTACAGCCAAGATGACGGTAGCCAGAAGTGGTACCAGTAGTACTGATGCCCAATCGGTGTTGCGCGCATCTGAAAAAAATTGATGTGTTTTACCATGGCTGATGGTAGAAGTGTAGGCGTTGCAGTTTCCAGTGATGCCGGCGACCTACCTTTGTCACTTTTCGTTCGCTAAGATGTAGAGTCAATCAATTGGACAAGAATTCTTAATATACGAGTACTATAAAGGGTTTTCCATTAAGGACTTGACAACTTTCTTTTTAAATAAAACGCAAACCATTTGAGGTATCTCGAAAATTTTATTATTGGATTGAAGTGTACTCAAAACACTTAAGTATGGAATTCGTCCTCGTATATATGTACACCACGGGCAACGAAAAAAAAAACAGCCCAATGACACCACCAGGATGAAAACCACACCACACAGTTATTTTTTGTGGATGAAGCGGAGTTTCTTGAAGCGCGTGAGGCTTTTCACCTGACCAATAACGCATATTCTGTTTGTTGACGAAGCCGTTTTGCCAAAAATGCACTCTTAGATGATTTTGCGATGAAATTAGTCAGACTCAGAATTTCGGTAGTAAATTTTAATTATCTGTAAGCATGTACGTACTTCACCATGATGAAAATGTTCTCTTTACTGAATGTTCCGACACTGACAGTTCGGTAAGTGATTAAAGATGCGTTCACAGTGAAAGTTCAAAGTTGTCAAGTCCCTATTGGAAAACCTTATATACGAACGTCTCCTGCATTTACAAGAATTTGTTATATTTTTAATGCTTCTTTTATGCATCGCATGCATTTGATCTTAAAACAAGCATACACATGAATAATTATTTTTGCTTATGACCTTATATGAGTTATCCTCGTTTTTGCACACATTCTTTCCATTTAAATTATAATATTTTCTCACTACTTTTTCTCGCCTAAATTCGTGCTTTGGGCCGCCAGGACCCCTGAGTTTCTTTAAAAATCGAATGCCTTTTAACATGAATGAAGAGGTGCCGGTACAAATTTGTTTAAAGAATCTTTTGACAAATTATTCCTTTTTTGAATCTGTTTACAACCAATCCTTCTAGACTTCTAGATCAGGCTAGGTATTCACGTTCTCAAAGATGAATTCCGCCTTTTAGTCAAGAAACAGAAAGCAACTTAGCATCTTCTCGCAAAAATATTCTGATTAAGTCCAAGATGCAGAGATACTTGTTGGACTAAATGTCCATGCTGTTAGTGTCAAAAATCGAAGAACAAAGATTAGTTTTACAATCTCAGATGCAGTCTGATCAGTTCATTGCACAAATTTTGCATTAATAAACTTGCTTGCAAAGTTCGCAAATACGAAACGTTGTCCATGTTCCGTATATTCTATTTTGGTAACATATCAGAATGTTATTTCGAAATGTTAATTACAAACAACAATGCATTTAGCTCTTATCACTAAGTTGAAAACGTAGGTTATGTTCATTACGCTTCATTTCAATCCCGGTATCTTTCCACAAGATTTCAACCCGGCTTCGAATCGTCAATGCAACTTTGTACTTACTGGAAAAATAGTCCTCGCTGTCCGAACTCCAGTAGAAATGACTAAACTTGAGCAACTTTTTGCTATAATGCGAACTATGGTTACTAATGTCACTTTGGTTCATTTTAATAGTGAGTGACCAGCAGCGATTATTGTTTATGTGAATTTACATATCTGTTGAACCGTCAACCATATCAATGTAATTAAACTAAAATCAGGCTGCTAGAATACTCGTAAGTTTATCGTTTGTTGCCCAGAGGTGCAACGTTGGGTAAGTTTGGAGGGGTTATGCATGAGAGCTTTTCTGCGTTGGTGTCTTTTTTAAATACACTCTCCAATAATATGTAACACTCGATACTTTATTTAAAAGAATACAAATACAGATTATTATGAAAAACACTTTCAGTTAATTATGAAGCACCTTTTCGATAGTTGGTGGGTCTATTTCATCAATAGCTCGACGGATATTTTCCTTAAGAACACCCATTGTTTGAGGTGACGAGTTAAAATTCTTGCGTTTTTACGCACACTCTTGGAATCAGCAGCAATGCTCATACCGTCTGTTATCTACAAGCAGACCAGTTTCACGAATTTTCGTATACCAGTCGCGGATGGAGCTTCATTCCGAAGTTTGACATAGTATATCTGTCAATATGTTGAGATTGGAAGTGTTACCAGCTGTCAAAATAGTACCGTAATAAATCGTAATAAGTCGTAATAAACCCTAATAAATCGTAATAAATCGTAATAAGTCGTAATAAATCGTGATAAATCGTAATAAATCGTAATAAATCGTAGTAAATCGTAATAAATCGTAATAATCGTAATAAATCGTAATAAATCGTAATAAATCGTAATAAATCGTAATAAATCGTAACAAATCGTAATAAATCGTAATAAATCGTAATAATCGTAATTAATCGTAATAAATCGTAATAAATCGTAATAAATCGTAATAAATCGTAATAAATCGTAATAAATCGTAATAAATCGTAATAAATCGTAATAAATCGTGATAAATCGTAATAAAAATACAATGCAGATGCAGTCGAAAATTGCATAGCAGTTACGGCTGGGTTTTTGTGTTTTTGGAGGACATTTGGCGTCTTCGGGACGGTGAGCGAGCGTAACGTGTCTAGTACATCCAAAACAACCGATAAACTCATGCTCGCTTGTCGCTTTTGGAGAGCTGGACGACTTTTGGTAGCGGGAATTCTAGCTCTCTCTCATTGTATGTCATAACGTGATTCGTTCCAATTTCCTTACCTGAATATCTTGATAGCTACGCATCTGAAAATCGCTTGAACCAAAAGTTGCGGGGTTCGGAGGGGTCAAAATGATGATGGCACTACCTTCAAGGTCATTTCAAGGTCAATATTTTCAAATGGAATCCTCCCTTTCCTACACCGAAATTGGAAAGAGCTCCGGTAAAGGCATTGAAAACAATTTGCTCGCAAAGGAGTTTGACAGCACCATGGCGAGATTTCTGGGAAATGTGACCTTGACCACGACCTCGACCGTGTCAAGTCAAAATTTTCAAAGGAAATCCCTGGGATTAGAAAAAACTGAAATGTTACTTCTGAATGTGACCTTGGCTTCAAAGTCAAGGTCATGTCAACCTTCAATGTTGGTCACCTCTTATTTTTTATGCCAAAATATGCTTCGGAATCATTGTATTTGCGGGTTTATGTCAGAACGAAACACCACATCTTTACATATTTCTTTATTTAGTGATGCAACGTAAAATATAAGAAACACCATAGTAAATATCACTTTTTCACATACTGATAAAGATTGGAAGTAGTACATTGAAATAGTTTCATATAAATTATTACAATAAATATATGCATCGCGATTGGTTTATTGAATAATATCATCCATTTATGTATGTACCTATATATGACTAGATTTGTAGGTATCTTTAGAAGTATATGACTATGAAACAATTCAGTTTATCATTTGCTCGACTAAAGGAGAATCAACAATAGAAGTACAAGGAGATTGTTGGGAGATGTCAAGAGATGCTAAAGCTGCGCGCAAACTGACGCGATATTCGTCATCCGTCGCCTGGTGTATATGTTCAATGGCACCTTCAACTCGAACTCCCTGACAGTAGACAGTAGACACTTTTGTCTTGGACATCTCCCAGGAAATCAAGAGTACCTTCATATACAGGATGACTCATTTAAAATACCGTTTAAATGATATGATATGAAATACAGTGGACCTCCGGTAATCCGACAAACATTATGGAGGGCAGTGTCGAAGAGTACCTTGTAACCTGACAAATTACATATCCAATGGTAAGATTATATATGTTATGTATATGTATGTACTGTGAAGTACAAATCATACAACATAGTTGATGTATGTCGAATTTAGTAAATTAAATAACAATAGAGAGCTTACGTTTTATTGTAAAATTAAGCATAAATGCACATACATATGTACCAAAATAATCAAGGATTATTAATCAAAATCATTAATGAATTTATCAAATTATGAAGCTTGGACATATTCATCAGTTTTTGTTTGTTTAAGGTTGTTATAACGCGAGATCAGAGCTTTGTCCCTCAGTCTTTTCAAAAGTAAAAGTCCGTTGTAGGATGTACCATTCTCTTCAGCCCATTGTAAACCTCAAGGCGTTAATTGCGTCTTGTGCTGTGACTTGTGGAGCAGTTGCAATCACGTCGTCGTTATTTTCCTGATTGTTTGTTGTATAATTAGAAACCTCTTCTATAATCTCTTCGTCAGACATTTCATGAGAAACATTTTCCTCTTTATCTATTCCACGGCACCAGATTTCCAAATCTTCCGGACTTATCTGTGTTTCAGTAGCGACTTGTTCCATAACTGCCGAAGTAACACTGATTTGTGGAACGTTGCTAGGAGTGGTGACTATATCTGGCCATAAGTTTTTCCAAGACATTTAATAGTTGATGACGGTAACGCATTCCACGACTGACAAAGAGCAAAAACCAAGTCTTTCATATTAAATTCTTTTAAAGTTTTTTCTATTGGTTGGTCTTTTGATACGGCTCTCAGAAGTAGGTTTTTCTTATCGTCTTGCTTGACAAACTAAATGATATTCTGGTCCATTGGTTGAATGTGCAGTGCAATTTGGCGGAAGAAACATCGCAGCGATGCATTTATCCTCAGTTGTTAGTTCTCCTTCAGACGGATGACCGGGAAGCGTTACCAAGAAGCAACAACGCTTTTTTGAGGAAAATTATGATCTTTTAACCATTTTCTAACTTCAGGTGCGAAGCATTCATCAAACCACTTTTTGAAAAGGTCTTTTGTCATCCATGCATTTTTTTGTCCGTAATAGTGTACAGGGAAATCAATGTTTTTGAATGCCCGTGGTTTATTAGATTTCCCGATGACCATCATCTTAAGCGCGTGTGTGCCCGTAGCGATAGCACATGATAGTATAGTTACGAGCTCTTTACTTACTTTTCGTCCAGGTACGGATTTTTCGTTACAAGAAACGAAAGTTTTGTTAGGCATCACACGCCAAAAAAGCCCTCATTCGTCTGCATTGTACACCTGTGACGGGTCAAGATTTAAATCGTTCACCTTTTGCAAAAATCTTAATTTAAAGGCTCTATGCAGGTGGCATCGTTAGAAAGTTTCTCTCCTATAATAGTCATTAAACGTATGCCATGACGACTTTTAAAACGTTCTAGCCATCCTTTGCTGGCCACAAAATCATCGTTTTTTGTTATTTCCTTATAAAAAACTTAGCTTTCATGGCCAACATGTGTCCTGAAATTGGTGCATGCCTATTTCTTTCCTGAAGAAACCACATGTACAAAGCTTCTTCCACTTCTTGATGTTCAGCTTTCTTCAGTGTCTGTCTCTTGCCTGGCCTGCAGTCAGTAGTTGACACGAACTGCTCGATCTTCTCGTGGTTTCTCTTAATGTCATAATTGCCTACGCCGTATTCACTTGTTAAACTACTGAAAGTTTCATTGCGATTTAATGGGTCTAAAATATCACATTATCAATGTTTTGTGCTTTCGCTTCTGAGTTTGTGATGACATTACTAGGTTCTATACTTAATACACAATGAATAAATAGTAACAATGAACGCACGCTAGGCCGTACCGCTATCACAAGTAGTCAAATTCAAACTAAGTAAAACAATGCTTACCCGTCGAGCACGATAGCGGTGCCGCGTACAAGTTGTAACCTGTTCAAACCTGCGTGATCTACATTAACGAAGATTGTCATATACGTATGTATGTAATATTCGAAGACATGTCGGATTACAGGGGGTGCCGGATTAGACAGGGGCCGGATTATCGGGGGTCCACTGTATGATGCAAATATTCAGAAAGTTGTACTGCCACTACTGCATTCTGACAAGGGTATTTGCCAAAAATGGGTGAGCAGTGTTACTAAGTGTAATAGTATTTCCAAATATTCCACCCTGTATATTGAAAACGCTTAACGAAAACTAGTAGACGTCTAGTAAACCATCTTCATCTATTCCACCCTGACGCATTAAAAAAATAGATAACAAGCTGAGTACTATTTTTTCACAACACATTTTCTAGGGTGTGTTAAAGACAGTTTTCTATGTCAATCATTACAGTACGTATAAATAACACAGGGAAATTGTTATAAATTATATATACACGTTTGGGGATTTTCGCAAAATGGCAATCTATGAAGGAAATAGGAAATGCTTAGCAGAATTGGCGAACACAACTTTTTAAATGCCAAGAAAAAGTACGAGTTAAGAACCATTTTCTTTTTCCAAGATTTGAAAACGATTTTAAGCAAGATCCTTGGTAATACTCGTATATGGAGAGACGAAAATAAAGAGAAGCAGTTCCAGAATCATTATTGAAAAAAAATGCATATAATACGATGTATAGACATTGACATAAGATTCTTCTTCAAAGTGCGGGTTTTTGGAGTTTAAATTAGCTAAAAATAGAATCAACACCTTTTTTGGATAAGCTTAAGAAGTTTTCGTCTGTACCTACCTTCTATAATCAACATTCACGTGTATAAAATGCTACAAACATTTATAAAAAATCGGTTACTTGCAAAATTGTGCTCTCTTATGTTAAGGCATGCCATCGCAACAAGGGTTCTCAGTTATTGTCTGTCATTTTGGTAAAAAGGTGTTCTTTCTAAGCAGGGTATGCTTCATAGACGGCCATTTTGTTATAGAGGATTAAACATACAGTGTTGTTCTTATCAATGAAGACAGAAGAAGAATGAATTAAGCTAAGTGTGGTTTCAACACGTAAAAGTTCATTTTCATGGCCCTAAAAT